TCGAGTGGTTATACTAATCGCCAGAATCAATGAGCTCGGCACGCAGATGCGTACACTTCTGCGTGCCACTGGTAATGACAATGAAACAAATGTGCATGCCAATAATGAGAAATGAATAATTTGAGAAAAGAAAGAGAACTAATAGCGCTATACTGGCCTGCTGTCGATAAAAAGGGAATCGTGCTAAGAAACATCTAGATCGAAGAAAAGAAAAAAGAAAAAAGAAAAATTGGTCATGGAAGATCCTTTTTGTGTTGTTTGTTCCGTAGGTGGCACTCGATAATTAGACGTTGCAAGTGTGTGCAAAAGTCTCGTGGGCCGACAGAGCAGCTGTATTATTTGTTGTGTCTGTCACTCTGTCGCCGGCGGACACGCACGCAGAGAAATCAATCGCCGCGGACACTTGCCCTCTCGAGGCGCGTCGGCCAAAAACGAAAGTTCTTTGACCACCCAAAAACACACACGAGCGCGCGCGGGGGGCACGCAGAGCTTCGCAGGAGAGAGTTGCGCGAGGGATAAACACAAAAAAACAAACAAAAAAACAAAAAAGAGAACCGAGTGTGTGCGCGCGCCTGTGTGGCCTGTTGTTTGGCTAATCTATACGATTACGAGAGAAAAGAAAGCAAGCTGCTTCTACTCGTAAAGCTCCATCGTCACCGTCGCCGTCGCCGTCGTCGTCGGACACACACAAGCCTTCACCCATCTCTTTCTACTACGGCGTCCTCGTCGCCGTCTCTGTTTGTCTGTCTGACCGAGTTACCCTCACCAAGGGTACATGAACAGGCAAATCTATGATCGAGCCAAGAATAATGGGTAATCTTTAACAAATAATGCTCCTTTTTTTAACAAATTCCAGTTATTCTTCTTCTTACTCTCACTCTCTTCTTTTTCTTCTTTGCTCTGACCACATTTTCTTTTTTTGTATATTTCTTTTGTTTTGTTTTACTTCTTTTCTTGTTAATATACTTTTCTTACTTACACGCACCACTTTTATTTTTCCAAACACACGTACACACGCTATATCTATAATTGTTGTTATTACTACTATTATTAATATTATTATTATTATTATTATTATCATTATTATTATTATTATTATTATTATTATTATTATTATTATTATTATTATTATTATTATATATTTTCAATTCTCTTTTCGTTTGGTTCATTTCATCTAATTTATCGAGCATTATGTTAATTCTTGTCGAGATACAATAACAAACAAATTTCGGCATTCAATTTATGGCGTGTACACCTTGTTTTTTCTCCATGTATATATTACATAATAATATACGGCATTACGCTCATGATTATCATCGTTTGGCAATCACTTGTATAATTTTTTAATCCTTTCTTTCTTTCATTGCATCAATATAATATACGGGATTGTCGATGATGAATGCCATAAGTTAAACTTCTCTAACCACATAATATTGATATACTGTTGCACCAGACTTAGACATCTTTAAGAAAAATTCTCTTAGATTAACACCTTGTTGTGCATGTCTAATTAATGTCCCAGTAGACGAGAACAAAAAAAGTAGTGCACGCGAATTGAAAAGACGATTTTTCTTATCAACGTCGCGCGAAAAAGCAAAGTGTAACACGTGGACAGTCTCATTGATGATTCTGCTTTTGGTAGAATAGCGTGTGGTCATACATCATTAATGCTTCGTGACATGCTTATCTCTCAGTGCAGCTATTCCACTTGTTGAGCAGTCATTGAAATTCCTGAAAAGCTATAACTTTACAATCGGAGATATTATTGTCGCAAAGCAGCAATAACTTTAAGAAGCTTCAATAGCATGAGATAGACAAGTGATCATTGATATATCCATAACAATTATCGAATGTCTATCGAAAAACAAAACCTTTTTTTAATCTTTTAGTCGACTGTCATCAACATATAGTTATCTATATAATTGATACGAACCTAGTCCTCGTATTTTTTTCGTGACTTTTGCAAGTCTTCAGCGGTAAGGAAAAACTGCCCAAAGACAGTTTTCTTTGTCGTTGATTGCGCGGAAAGTGTTGTCATTTATGTGTCGCTTGAAAAAGAGCAAGAACGTACGAAAACGACTGCTCGTTTTCGTGCAAGCGGCAAAACACAACGCGCATTCGAAATTGAGAAGACTTACCGAGTAGCATCACTTTTTTTTTCCGTAATACATTTCTTTTTTAATTCACTGGAGCTCGTCGATGTTTATCTAATTCAAGTTGCTGTGCACGACAAAGAGAGAAAACCATTGGAAAATAATTCTTCGTGCAAGTTTTATTCTTGTGGAACGTCATTCAGTTCGCTCCTACACGAGTCTCTTATTACACACAAACACATCTTTCAATTGTTTTCACAGTAGCCTGTGAAGAATGACATTAAGCTCAATTGAATTCGATAAGCCATTAATCATAGACACACAAAACTGTCTCTCGATCTTTTGTTTGCTCTTTCCTGGTGTGCATTAATTACATTCTCTCTGTGTTTTGCTATTGTAGTCAGTGTTAGTGTCTCTTAGATATTATTTGTAAATGTTTGTTTTTGAATTGATAAAATTATAATAAAAAAAACTGACTCGTTGCATCTTACCATTAACAAACAAAAAAAACATCTTTTTAAAAATTTGCCGATAAATTATCCAACTAATTAGTAAACAATTAATCATTATTATATAAATTATAAGATTTAAATATATAGCTTAATAAATACACAGCTGAATTTAACATTTACAGTTTGATGCACTTTCAGTAAAGTTTGCACAAGATACAAATCAGGGTAATAATGAACGCACGTATCAGCGCACTGAGCAGTTGGAAAATAAAAGGCGCGCGCGATTGTCGCGAACATATTTACGAATTCTCGGCAGGGAATATGCAGCACAAGGAACATAACGTTGCCAGTGGAAAGCTTAGCCTAACTCTGATGATCGATTGATGCATCCCTCTCGCGACAGAAGTGAGCGTCTTCTTCCACAACTCTCTCTCTTCCTCCCCCCCCCCCCCCCCCACCCTCCCACCAACGCGTCACGAGAGATACATATTCGCGATCGATTCTTATCCACGAAAAAGACTTTGATAAAGAAAGAAAGAAAAAAAAACTAGTTCCGTTATAGGCCATATAGCCTTAATTTTGTAAGCCCGATGGAAAAGAAGTAGGGCAGCCGAAAGAGAGAGAAAGAGAGAGAGAGAGAGAGAGAGAGAGAGAGAGAGAGAGAGAGAGACAGAGACGGTAGAGGTATAAAAATAAAGAGGAATAGCCGTCTCGGAAGACGCGCAGTGCAGAAAGAAAAAGGCAAACCGAGAATGAAATTGCAAACAGGGATTCAAATGATACTGGTCAGCTTACGCGCGGATTAAGCAGCCATATAGCAGTTCTGTCCGCGCGCGATATCGCCGTCGGTGATGCTTTGTTTGCGGACACACCCGTAATATGCTCCCAGCCATTTTTTTTTCTTGTCGGCATCGTCGGTGTCCCGTTCGTAGACGCGCAACAAATCGTGCACTCGTCGTTCGCTCGGCCAGCTTCAGATCCCCACCGCGAGTACATTGAATCGTTCGATGGGGCGCGCACGAGCGAAACGCGGATAATAGAGTTTTCCACGATGGCGTTTTGAAAAAAAAAATATATATATATATAAATAAATAATAATAAGCGACCGACAGTAGCGCGGGGACTGCCTCAGGCTCGCTGTCGTCGCCGCAACGCGCAACAGATAATCGTCGTGCGTCGTCGTCCTTTTTTTTTCTTTTTTGTTTTTCTTTTTTTTTTTTCCTTTTTCATCTCGGCAAACATTTTGACGAAGAGGTAGAAAAATCTCGTTAGCAAGCGCCTCCCCTCTCCCCATCCGGCAGCGCTTAATCGGAATCGAGCGACTCTTTGGGCTTAATTAACGGCCATTCGCATACGTCACCTACAAAGGCTTTCAATGATGTTTAAACTATTCTTTTTTCTATAATTCTGTCGGTTGCGCGCGCAAATATATGGCTTTTTTCCGTTTTCCTGCTTTTACAAAGTGATGCTAGTCGTTACGTAATAAACGTCGAGAAAAATGTGTTGTGCTTTCTCTGTCTCTCCCCCCTCTCACTCTCTTAGCGCCTATATCGATCTTTGCACCCCCTCCTTATCTAACGCCCGACAGAGAGAGAGAGAGAGAGAGAGAGAGAGAATACCGGGAGGAGAGCCGCAATTATTATGCTCCCCTGATCACACGCCGTATCACGCACTTGGCCCTCTGTACTTTTTCCAAATTTTGTCTGGTTTTGTTTGTTCTATCATTGTTTTTGTTTTTTCCTTTTTTTTTATCTTAAAAGTTTTTCTTTCAAACTTTACAAGAGCTGATCAAAAAACGCAATCAATTGTAATACAGACGTGTCGATAATATCGAGCAAAGCATTTTATCAATAATAGCAATTTAAGAATAAAAATTCTCTCGAATTCTCTATATATCTAAAAACTGTAATTAAAAAAACTGAAAAAAAAATTAAAAATGAAAAATTAGTCGTACAATATATGCAAGCTCGTCGTCCAAACAATACACGATTCATATTTCAATGTTCTTTATGTAAAACAAGTAGTTTCGAATAATATTATGACGACTTATGTGCAAGCTTATTTTTTTCATGAAATTCAAGCAATGTTGCAATGACATGTACATGTTTATATATTTTTAGCGATATATTGCCTTTTTTTGACTATGCTTATAACTGTATCATCACTATAACTCTCCATCATCAAAAACCAAACTAACTCTGTCATTACAAAACAAAAACTTGTATTTAATTCAATTAACTTGGTTTATTTATTTAATTTTTTTATTTATTTTTTATTGTTCGAGATTTGTATTAGATGAATTTAAGTACCAAATGCTCGAAAAAAATTTGTAACTAAAGTTGACCAGAGAAAATTATTTTAAAAAATTGACCAGAATTGATAAAGCGATAAAAAATGTAATCACAAATTTAACTAACGAGATATATATATTTTTTTTGCTTCATTAAAAACGCAGATGTGCCACCTGCGGAGCAGGAGGAACTGTTCATCCGGAAGCTGCAGCAGTGCTGCGTCGCCTTCGACTTCATGGATCCAATTGCGGATCTCCAAGACAAGGAGGTTAAGCGTGTCACCCTCAATGAGCTCGTCGACTACATTTCCACGGGCCGAGGGATCCTTACCGAACCGGTCTATCCCGAGATCATCAAGATGGTTAGTTATACTTCAAATACCTACCACAACTCGCACACGCTTCCTTCAATTATACTTAATGTTTCACTGTTATTGCTCCTCGATAGTCTCAATTTTACATTTGGATGTGGTTCATTATTTTTAAAAATACTTGAGATGGAACAGCGATTATTTTTATATTTATTTTTCTTTCAAGAATTAAAAATCTTTTTCACTTTTCTAAAATAATCGATTGTCAAAGTGTTTTAAATAAATTTTTGTCGCAAAGTGAATGCTCGTGTAGAAAGTCCAACAAAAATATCAACTTTGTTCACAACAAGTCATAATTTAATGCTCAGAAGCGGAGTTACGTGATTTGTGTTCCGTCGGTAAGAAGTGTTTAAAATTGTACAAAGTTGTAATTATTCCGTATTCAATTTGAAAGTCCACTTTAAATTACAAAGGAAACTCGCAAGACTGAAAATAATGTAAGCTTTGCAAATGTTACAAAACTCTTTGGTACGTTTAAAACTTTCTTTCAATATTTTTTGGCCAAATTAATTGATTGAACACTCGTTGCACTCAGCTATTCTTTCCTCGTTATATTTTTATCAGCGTCACAAAATCGTGAGAAAAAATCGTATAACAGTGTAACAACGAACACAAAAGTTTTTCCGTTATTTCGTTGTAGTTTGAGTGATTTGTGTGTGTGCGTGTCATTCACCATTGATTATCTTTGTTTTCATCTTCCGTGTATGATTGTGCTTTCGGATCTTGTTACAGAAAGTATCATAAATATCGATTGTATTGGAAATGAGTATATTGTCAAACATACCTTGCATGAATTTGCAGATCTCGGCGAATATATTCCGCACGCTGCCACCTAGTGAAAATCCAGACTTCGACCCGGAAGAGGACGACCCAACCCTGGAGGCGAGCTGGCCCCACCTCCAGCTGGTTTACGAGTGCTTTCTCCGTTTTCTCGAGTCTGCGGACTTCCAACAAAATATCGGAAAACGTGTAATCGACCAAAAATTTGTTTTACAGGTAAGCTCTTTTTTAATTATAATCTATTGCCAAGACGAAAATTCAATTTTCTCTTTTATAAATTATATATCGTATTCGTTGTTATAGCAATCCTTTCATGTACAAAGTTGAAGCGAACTTGAGAGGATTTGATCGAATCAGAGAAGTTTCTTTCGTGTAATTCTATATGATATTCTTCCTGTTACAGTTGTTGGACTTATTTGACTCAGAGGATCCTAGGGAAAGAGACTTTTTGAAAACTGTCTTACATCGTATATACGGAAAGTTCCTTGGTCTCAGAGCCTTTATACGCAAACAAATTAACAACATCTTTCTTAGGTAAATTAATTTCATTGCTTATATTTCAAACTATCGATCTGAGTTAATAAAATACTGATGCAACTTTGAATTTTCATCAGGTTTGTGTATGAAACGGAACACTTCAACGGAGTAGGTGAACTTCTAGAAATTTTGGGCAGCATTATTAATGGTTTTGCTCTACCTCTAAAGGCTGAACACAAACAGTTTTTAGTCAGGGTGAGTAAGCTTATGATAATTTACCTTCAAACTGAACATTATGAGACTAACGAAACGTTCATTGTTATCCATTTAAAAATCTGTGCTTGTCTGAAGTTATACAAAATTAAATGCATACAAAGACACTTCCTCGTATTCTGATTTGAACACAGAATAGCAACTTTTGGCTGTTTCAGGTGCTGTTACCACTACACAAAGTTAAGTGCTTATCATTGTATCACGCACAATTAGCTTATTGTGTGGTACAATTTCTCGAAAAAGATGCTACTCTGACAGAACCTGTGGTTCGGGGACTTTTGAAGTTCTGGCCTAAAACATGTAGCCAGAAAGAGGTCATGTTTCTGGGCGAGATCGAGGAAATTTTGGATGTCATAGAACCTAGCCAATTTGTTAGAATTCAAGAACCTCTATTCAGGCAAATCGCGCGTTGCGTATCCTCCCCACATTTCCAGGTTTGCATTCATTTACACTTTTGTGATTCTTTTGTTGCTATTAGCACACATATTAATCTCGATTCTCTGATTTCATTTAGGTCGCCGAAAGAGCATTGTATTATTGGAATAATGAATACGTAATGTCGCTAATTGAAGAGAATAACCACGTAATTATGGGGATAATGTTTCCGGCACTGTATAAAATAAGCAAAGAGCATTGGAATCAGACTATCGTGGCGCTTGTTTACAACGTTCTCAAGACTTTCATGGAAATGAACAGCAAGCTCTTCGATGAACTTACTGCCAGTTACAAATCGGAAAGGCAAAAGTACGTAATGTTATAAATTGCTATTTTTTATTGGACTTAGTGTAACAATGAAAAAAATTAATTTGAAATATAGTCTGTTGAACGTAATGCTAAAGTTCAATAATTTCTACAGAGAAAAGAAAAGAGAAAAGGAGAGGGAAGAATTGTGGAAGAGACTGAATGAACTGTCAGAACGACGCCAAGCTCTCATAGAACCGCCGGTAAACACTCCAGTTCCTGCTTCTACTGGACCTGTGGGCACGCGACGCCCCTGAATTGGTAAATGTTCTTTTTTAACTAAGCTTTGAGTGCACACGTAAACAAATACCACTGTTTTTTATTATTATGTTTTTTTTTCTCTGTTTTTCCAAACGTGCCGAGCTAAATGTTAAAATTTGCAGACAAAAATAATAATTAAAGTAAAAATAAAAACTGAATACACATAATACATGTTAGAATAGGTTATTAGAATGGCTAATTATTCATTATTCTGAGAAAACATAAGATTTAATAATTGCAATACACCATTGTGTTTGGTAAGACCTTTTTATTTATAGGTATTTATGATTAACGTTATTCGCAAATCACGCAATTTGCTAATCAATTGCAAATATTCTATGAAAAATTAATTAAACGTACAAAACTATGCATGGTTTTTAGATACTTCATTGTTATCAGTTTGTATTTTTTAATTTCATTAAATTTTAAGAAAGTGTATTTAAGTTTTCAGTTCGATTAATATTCATAAAATTATAAAATTATATGCTCAAAACCAATAAAAATCAGTTACGAATATGTATAGACTATATTTGAATAAGTATAAAACTTATTATAAATCACTTTCTAATGTATTCTATCGATTGATATTGAAACAATTATCAGCTTGATACGGAAATCGTTTATTATATACTTATTGTAATGTAAAGTTTAATAATTAAATCATATACTACATTGTCATTACGTTTATAATATGACCATGCTTAATGTACAAATGTCAAAATTAATCGTAGCAAATAAAACAAAGGCATATTAACGATTATTTCACATGTACGTATTAAAGTCAATTAATAATCTTTACAAATATTTGAATTATGTATGAATTGTATACTTATTTAGTCATGCTCATTTGAAACATTGAAAAACATTAAGTAACAGAATATGTTATGAAAACGTTTAACAATGATAGTATAAGCGTATTATTAAAAATAGATTATCTCGAATGTATTTGATTTGTAAATAAATCTGAAACTTTAATGAACCATTCCGTGTGTGAAGATAAATTTTATTAGCCCTATGCCACCATTCGTCGACGTCGAGACCATATAAAACACTATCGATTACACTCACTCACTTTAAGTTATTACAAATAGAATTAAAAAAATTATCCTAGTATATAAAAAACTTATATACTTCCAGGTGGAAAACTGACTACACGCTGCCCAACTGTTAGTCCTTAGTTTACGTCGGTTGTCTATACACTAAAAGCAAAGAAAAAAGCAAAAGAAATTATTGTTGTTAGTGAAAACAAAAAAAAATATCTAATGGTGCGCCTATAAGGTGTCCGATCAAGAAAAGAAGAGGGAGAAACAAGCAAGCGTGCAGTTAAACTAAGGAGAATGAAAGAGCAGATTATGTATTCGGGTTTGATTCTTAAAAAAAAAACAAAAAAACAAAAAAACGCCATAATGATCGATGATTTCTAATGGTTTTATTGTGTATATTAATTTTTATTCTTTTAACGGCAATTGATTTAAATTGTACGGTGTACTCAATGTCAGCACATAATACGAGAATGTTAGTCCCTTCTTTAATTACGGTTAGCTGTGCTCGGTCAGAGGAGATGATCAACATAGTTAAAAAATAACAAAAAGTAGGCTCAAGTCATTAAGGTACGTACACAAGTACACATGCATATGTAACTTATCATAGCTCAATTCACTCTTACTATTTTCGACTACAAAAAGATCTTTATAACATTCTACATCTCGGACAAGCGTTATAAAAGTGATGAGTACGCATATGTTAGTCTCCAAGATGATCGAGCCTACGTTTTGCTAGGATCCTCGTCTCCGACTTTGGCCAGCAGGGGCGTTGTTTGAAATGTATCATATATTCGTATTAATGATAACGATAATTGATAACTATAGCAGAACATAATAAATTAGGTAAATATATACATAATACAATATATTATTAAGTATAGTAATATCGATAAATACAAACAAAAAGCTCACATATACACGGTAACAACACGAGCACACACACATCTACACATTCGAGATACCCGAAATCGTGGTGACATATGTACACATTAATACACTAACGATACAATGATGGAGAAGACGATAAATAAAAAAACCCATGTGCTACCAATACTAACATTGCGCTGACTGCATACCACAAATCGACGAGAATACTTTTTCAAGAATGAAAAACCGTAGGATTATGCAAGTGCATAAATAACATTAATGAATAAGATTGAATCCATTGAGAAGATCATTAAAACAAAAAAAAAGAGCGAAAGAGTGAGAGTGAACGAGAGCGAGAGAATTGTGAAAAGTATATGTTGTTTTTTAACTAAAAAAAAAAGGAGTAAAAGAGGCGAGGGACAAATATATACAATAAAAAATTCAATTGTACCAAAATATCCATGGTTGCTTAAAAATATAATAAATGATAGAGATACAATGCATAAGATTTATTCGGAGCTGTGCTCCCATCGGCCACCATAAAAGTGTACGTGGGATCGTTTTTAAAAATTTATTACCAGTGCATAGTAATAATAATAATAGTAATAGTAATAATAATAATAGTAATAATAGAGACTATTGAATAAATGAATTATAACATAAATAACACATAGATCATAAAAAAAAAACAGAAACAGATTATGTTCTTACGTATTAGTAGTTAACCAAACGGTCATTCGTAAAAAAACTGTTGAGAAAAAAAATAATGAAAAAAGGTCTCTATCATTGACGAGAAAAAAAGTAAAAAAAAAACGAATAAAGAATTCTTTGCATGTGACATTTATTTTGATTGGTTTTTTTTTCTGTCCGTTTTTGGCACTACTTTTTTCGGTCTTGTTTCCTGTATAAGAGTAAATCAACGGTCAATCAACGTCGATCGTTATGGTTTGTAAATGATGTAAAATGTAGGAGAAATCAATCTGCGAATGCGATACACACGCGTTTAATATAGGCGTTTCGTTATCTTTCAACTCTGTGATTTCTTTCTCACACGCATTGCTTACTTGCGTACAAATACGAATTAAAACTAGGTGGTGACGAATCAAGGAGATATTTTAGATTAATCTATATATATTTTTATCATTTACCATTAGTTTTTAATGTTCGTAAACGAATTCGCAGAGCGCTCTGTACAAACAAAAAAAGTTTTAAATAAACACAGTGGAATTTGAACGCATTAGGGTTATACATATTTGTTCAACAGAGCTCTCTATCCAAATAATTCATGTTATTTTTCCGAATGCACTAAACAAGCCGTTTTAAAAATTAGCTTTTTTCTAGAACAATCAGCTTTTCAATTTCTAGCCTTTATTTCAATTACAAGTAATCATTTCAAATTAGAGTTGTCAATCCCTTTGCAAAGCCATAGTATCAGTTCATAACCGTATATAATTGCAATGTTTACGGGTATAGAACGAGCAGTAATCATAATAAATCCTTTGAAAAATCCGTGGTAACTTGCTACCTTGAATAATTCTAAGCTACAGCTTATCATTCCTTTGTATTTCCGTTTATCAAAATCGTCGGCTTGCATTCTTGATTTTATCGTATCGAAAGGTACGACTGGGATCCACGACACGATACCTAATACACGCATGTTATCAATCGAATGAATTACTTTTTATCAAGGCGAACATTGAAAATTTACCAGCGAGCCCGCCTGCTACGAAAATTTCAAACAGTCCTGGATTGATATTCAATTCGCCGTACATATAATGGCGACCAAATTGGTAAGACACAATGTAGATTCCTCCGTTGACTGCGTCTCTGCGTCGACAAAAAAACCTTTTTACTTAATTTCGACCGAAGAGAACTGTATTTAGACAGCAGCGAACCTCCATATCGTAGGCACGAGACCAATAAAAAAATACCCGAATCCATATCGTCTGTGCATGTCCAGAACAGTTTGATACGTGCTAACATTATTGAAAGCAGGTTTTAAAGCCAATACTGTTTTAGGCACTCCTAGAAGAAAGCTCATAAATTTCATTCATTTCAAAAGCTGTCATGACTCGTACGGGTTACCTTTCCCAAGTTGCATTCTTATTTTGATTAATTCACTCGGACACGTTATCAAAGCTTGCGCAGCACCACCGATACTCCCAGCAATGAAGAGATCTTGCATCCAGCCTGCATTGGTAGGGTGAACTTTGGCATATCCTCGCAATGATTGAAACTCTTTCAAGAACACATCGTAAACTCCAAAATACACGGAATTTAGTAAGCCAGAACCCAGCAATGGGAATAACATTCCTTTGTACAAACCACGAACCTGAATAATATATATTTTTTTCCAAATATATTCAAATGGCATTCGCCATTTATTTTTTACAATTATCCTTATATTTTTACGAGTAATCAAAACTTTTGATTGGCAATGTTAAATCAATAGTTTCATTCTTACGCCGTCCTTATTGATTATCATCGATACAGTTTCATGCGTCGACAGTTTAATGTTGCTCATTTGCTGATAAGTCTTAATTGTATCCATTGGATAGCCTACTAGTACTCCAAAAGTACCTTGAGCAAAGTATCTCAATCAATAACAAATATTCATGTAAAATTATCATAATATTGCGTTTGATACGTCGTACCAGCACCCCATCCTGCAAGGAAGTGTTGTAAATTTTCCATCAGGAATGCTATTCATTGTGCAAGTGAGGTCTATTTCACGATAAATTTTTATCCAGTTTTAAAAATATTCGGTTTTGACATTTCGTCAACGACGTAAAATATATGTAAAGTGTATTACGTTCCGGTTTACTAGAAAATTTTCAATTCATTGTGATAATTAATCGACCGGTATCACAAATTTGAAATTGCTTAAAAATCATCACGTGATACTCATGACAGTGCGATGATAGCCACCAGCTGATAGTTCATGGCTGCTTCATTGACGCATGCGCATTTCAATTCGCGAATAGCACACGCGAAATATACACTCACACAAATTCATTAAAGTGATTATATCGCATTCTTTAGATTTGGTTTTTTTATTTTTAACTTCAACATATTTTTTCACAAAGCTTGATCAAAGTGGAAATTATTTTCAGCTTCAGCCCTTCAACGTATGATTGTAAAGGTTATATTAAATTATGAGAAGATGAATCTCAGTGTTCAAATTCTCGAATAACAACCAGAGATAGTTTCTATATTTTAATTGATTTTTGCATACCATTTCTTTGACACACCTTAAAAATACTTTGTTTTCTTTTAATTTAGTTGTGAAAAATGCTTAATCATTATTTTTATTTTTTTAGCATTAATTTTACTGCTATTGTGTCTAAATTTTTCTCAGAGTAAATATTTGAAGTCTCCGTTTTGAATTATATTACATATTTTTCAGAGTATACTGTAGAAATGTCAAGAAAAAGAAAAAGAACTGTAAGAAAAGTTCAAATGTAATTATTATTATTTTTCCAAGAAATGTGATGAACATGAAACACAATTAGTAAGAAGTATGACGCAGAAGAAAATTGAATGCAGCAGGACACTGCATTTAGTACAAGCATAATATTTCAAATGCTAAATAAAATTTATTTATATTAATAAGATCTTTTATATCTTGAAGACCAACTTTTCTTGTAATTTTATAACTTGTTGAGGTTTAAAAAATACCTGATAAGATGTTATCACGTAAGAACAAAGATTTACGAACAATCAAAGAGGGTGTTGTTGGAAAGTATGTCAAAAAAGATACTCCACCTGAGATGCCAAGTAATTATAAAAGCATATTTGTATATATACTATTTTCTTTATAAATTGGGTTATTGTTTTATTGAATTTTCTTTTTCTTGGAATCTTATTTTATATGTGGTCCTAAAATCTTTCAGTTATAAATGTTTGGACTACTGAACCTAATCGTAGAGGACGTAGACCAAATCAACCAACAATGCCATCCTCAATGTCTTTTGGTACACAACAGCCAATAATGGTACAAAAATTTGGTAATACAAAGTCTACATTAAGTGCTGTTGGCTTAGGAAATCATGAGGGAAAATACACTCCAAATAGTTCAGTCTCTGATATGTCGCAAAGGTATTTTTTTTAATTTTTTTAAATATCTGTTTGATCAAACTATAATCAGTGATTCATAATATTTCTTTTATAACTAACTAATTACTGATACACAAATTGTATTATTATTATTTTAACAGATGTATGAGGATAAATAGTTAGTTCCCATTCGATAATTTTGCAATCTCATTCAATTTAAAATTTGTTTATCAGATTGACCAGTTTGTCAATACATTCTACATCAAGTGATGGAGTACCTTCACGCACACCAACTCCAATGTATCTACCTAGTTTATCTTCTGCAATGTCTCATACATACGTTAATCAATATGCAGGTTCAGAATATCATTTAGATAGAGATCAGCATACACCACAGTTGCCTTATACATATGAAATTGACAGTGGATATGAAGAGTATAGTTCTCAATACAGACAAAATACAGGGTAATTCATTTCAATCAATTTTAAGTTTCTATATATAATGTGATTAATTTTTCTAACAGATATAGTCATACCTCATCTGAGCGATCAAGTTCAAGAAATGAGCAGTCAGAAGAGTTACCTTTACCTCTTGGCTGGTCAGTCTGTTTTACTCTGCGAGGGAGAAAGTATTATGTAGATCATAATACAAGAACAACTCATTGGTCTCATCCTTTAGAAAAAGAAGGATTACCTACTGGTTGGGAGCGGATTGATTCCCAAGAGTATGGAATTTATTATGTGAAGTTAGTATTGACATAAAAAATACTATTGTTTGATAGTCTTTTAAATATCTTGTATAAAATTATAATTTTACTTTTACAGTCATATCACAAGACAAGCTCAGTATCAACATCCATGTTACCCATCAGAAATGCAGACCGTTAGAGTTGTTCCGCCACCACAACATACTAACTTTCACTCTTACAGTGTATTAGTACCAGCAAATCCTTACATAAATGAAGAAATTCCTCACTGGCTGTATGTTTATAGTCGCGCTTCAGTAGATTTAGATCGTAAGTTGAGATGGGAATTGTTCCGTCTACCAGAACTTGAATGTTTCAATGCAATGTTGATAAGACTGTTTACACAAGAAGTCAGAGAAATTGTTATGCGATACGAAAAATATAGGTAAATTTAATTATTTATCTTTATATACTAGATTTAATTTAATATTTCATGCTTTTCGAATAAACCATTTTGTTATTGTTTTACAGAAATGCACTACGATATGAAATAGAAAAGAGAGCAAAGGAAGCAAATGAAGAATCTAGCAGTAGTGTTATTATTAGAGAAATAGGTTCAGAGATGTTTTAATCCAAAAAGCACTGATTAACTATTTTTTTACATAATCTTTTGAACAGGACATATTTTTCTATCAAATATTAATAAATATCTTTTAACCTAATGAAGTTTCTATTGTAAAAAATTTAAAGTTTATTTAAAATAAATTATCTATTCGTAATCACATTGTTTTTTTCTCTTTAGCTGCTTTTATTCTCTCTTCATTTTGCTGCTCATATTTTTTCAACTCCTCTTCCGTTCCAATTACACTAGAGAAATCGTTTAGCTCTTTATCAGTCAATTTTATCTCATACTGATTTACTTTAGAAAAATTAGAAAGTTGTATGACTGTAGCATCTTTAATTCCCAACACTTTAGCATAATCAGTACCTAAAAGAAAACAAACTTGTGATTAAGACTGATTAATTTTGTTATATTTCAATAAAAAAATGCCTTACTATCATGAGGTGTGGGTAAATTTTGTTTATAACACATAGTTAATACAATTCCAAATAAATTCCAAGCAGCAAATGTATAGATTAATACTAATCTGTTTTTCATGTATGCTCCATATTGAGGATTGGTAAGCTGCTTAACATGTATATAATTTCTAAACCATTTCCTCATTTTCTATAAAAAATGTATAACAATTTGAACAATTCATTTTTAGTAATCATAATTAAATGTTTCTGTTGAATTATAAAAGCTATAAATTTCAAGAAGTCTGATGTAGACATTTTTATTATATCAAATTGAATGGTTTTGAAAATATTGTTACATAACTATAATACAAGAACAAATTAGTTCATAAAATTTATAAAAGTACTGTCATAGAATAAATAATATTACTCAGTAATAAGTAAAATTCCGTAAATATAATATCTTATCAAAATCAATTTTATATCAAAACATTGTGTATCAACTTACAGCTTTTTATACAAAATAAAGATAAAAAACGTATAAATGAGTAAATATGGATTACTACAAATATTGTTCTATGTAATCCTTTTTTCTTAAAATATATTCAATAATATATTATAACATTTAATTTTTTTAAATTAATAGAATTCTATATTAATGATATATAAATATGTTCTCAAATGACAACCTGAGACAATATGTCTCAAAACGCTGGCAGCCTGGCGCCAAGCGCAATCATCTCCATTTTAACCCTTAAGTTGTCAACCTGAATCTCGAATGAACATCCTCTACCATTGCCGAGACATTAATTCGCGATCCGCGAAGTTCAAAATCCGAATCCCTTTCATCGATTGAGCATCGATGACACCAAAGTTATTTTAGTAAGTTGTATTCCCACAACTAGCCAGAAAAAATTCATTTGATATGTCATTAATGCTCGATTGTAAAAAATAATTTGGATTTAAAAATGTGCGGGCTGTAAATAATGTCCAGGCAAAGTATGTCGACTGCTACTACTTAATTCGTATAAATATGGTTACCCTGTATAAGCTAGCGAGCCAAATTTATAAAAGATATAAAAAATATTGTTTTAGAACATGGCGACTAAATAAATTAAAAAATTCCTCATAAATATAAGCTAGAAAAGATATTGTCGCTTAAATAATTATTTTTTTCGATTTTTCATATAAGCTAAATAAAAATAATTTGATTAAAAAAATCATCGAATGAAAGTTATAAACGGTTTCTCATGCTTATCACACAACTGTCGTACACTGCCTAAAAGCTAGTCAGAACACAGCACACAAACAGTACAACGTGTGTTTGTGTGCTTGTGTGCATCGAGGACTCGACGAACGGATTCGCTAATATATAAGGGGGGAAGCAGTATTTGTTCGATATATAACTACATGTACGAATAACTTTGAAGGTGTGCGTGGAAATCGAAGAATAGACTGTAGGGGGTAGGGAGACGCACGAGATCTTCGTGATCCTTCTCTGTCCCTTCTCTTTCGACCTCGTCTATATAGTATATATATGTATGTATGTATATCTATATATATATATATACACGTATATGCTGTGTATTTCATATTGCCGGCATCAAAAGAGACATATACAGACGCACAACACGTCGGAGCTTCGGAGTGTGTAAGCAGTAGTAACATTGCCGTCTATTCACGAGCTGAACGATTTCAATAAAAATGTCTGTCATGGGAAAGGTGAGTGAATCTTGCCTGATAAGATTATTGCGTTGTTGTGCTCCATTTTATCAGTTTACGCCGGCTGATTATGACTTTTACCGAAGATATGTTCGCGATTCGTCTTTACTTATTAACCCTCTCCAATTTTTAAGCCAACACGCACTGGATGTACAATCGGCTTTTGACTAAGTATATCTATAATTTTTATACTCTTTTTGATGGAACGATTGGGTTGGCTGAATTTTGCGTGCTTACAATTTCTTAATTATATATTAAGCAAGTGGCACGCGGGCATAGAGAGCGTCCTTCGTAGCTGAAGACCTCGACTACGGGATTAATCTCCGCGAGTTAGTATTCCGGTTTTTCCTGTCAGCTCCGGCTTGTCTAAGAATTTCTATTAGCTATTACTTACAGCTGACTTTACATAAATTATAGGACAAGTAAAAATTGATTATAATTTTTAATCAGTCACTTGGAAATATTCCACTGGAACTTGATTAATTTTTTTTTGTTTTGCCAATTTACATACACGCACCTGTTTAGTAATGTTAACTTTTTAATTCGCAATATTTTTCCATTCACGCTTGAATTTTATAGAATATTTGAAAAAATCAACATTGTGTTATTCTTCTGGCAACGTTAGATTGAATAATATCGGTTTCGCCATTTTTCATGAAAATTAATATAATGTTAATTTTGATGACTTATGAATATTCGTATTTTCATACTATGCAAAAATTCTCGTTCTTAAGTTTGACTTTATTAATTTCTTTACAACTGCAATTATTATTGTTTTTCTCGTTATTCAATTCGAAAGTTCCATAGCACTGTTTGTTTGTTTCAGCCTGTACTGTATTCGTATTGGAGAAGTTCTTGCTCGTGGCGAGTGAGAATTGGTAATTAGTTTCAACTTTATTTCAATGCGATTGTTAATCAAACATACTTATTTATAATTTCAATTCAACCAGCTTTAAATCTCAAAGAAATACCATACGATATAAAACCAGTTAGCTTGGTTAAAAGCGGCGGCGAACAGCACAGCAATGAATTTCGAGAGGTAAATCCGATGGAGCAGGTTCCAGCACTTCATATTGACAATCACACACTTATTGAATCCGTAAGTAAATTATTTTCAACGCTCAAGTTTTTTTCATTTTACAAACATAATAGTTCTTGCAATCATTTAATTTTCCAGTTAAATATTTTACTATATTTGGAAGAAACGAGACCACATCGCCCCTTACTGCCAGCAGATCCTATAAAGAGAGCTAGAGTAAGAGAGATATGCGAAGTAATTGCATCTGGAATTCAGCCTTTACAAAATCTAATTGTTCTCATTTACGTTGGAGAAGAACGTAAAAAAGAGTGGGCACAGCACTGGATAACTAGAGGTTTTACAGGTATTCATAATATTGTTTGTATGATACTACATAACGGCTCGTCATTAAGCTATGAATTAGTAAAATACAAAGCACGAGGTTGAAATAGTTGTTAGTTCAACGTGAAAAACAAGTGAAGTAGATTTGATACTTTGCGTGATTTTTAAATATTTTGGGTTTCATACAGCCATAGAAAAATTGCTGTCATCGAGCGCTGGAAAGTACTGCGTGGGCGATGAAATCACATTAGCAGATTGCTGCCTCGTACCACAGATTTTCAATGCCAGAAGGTTCCACGTCGATTTGAGACCATTCCCGACCATTTTGCGAGTTGATCGAAATTTGGAGAATCATCCTGCTTTCACAGCAGCTCATCCTAATAATCAGCCCGACTGCCCACCTGAAGCTACTAAATAGCAAGCAAGACAGACCACCCTGTTTCTCTTCTAACTATGGAAGAAAGCAAAAGGGGTGGTCTGTGATTTCGTGGTTTGTCGACGATTAAAGGTGCACGTTACTAGCAATAAAAATGCTGGTTTAACGAACGACGAGCGAATGTAAATTATGAAGACAAATTAAAGTTTAACGAATGCAAAAAGGCAAAAATCAAGGAGGTGACTAGGAAAGCAGTTCAATCAATATTGGGTTATAATATCAATTGAACTGGTCTCTCAGGCATACTATCAATTGATGAGCTTCTTAGGATGGAAAATACTACATTCATTGCTACTTTCAATGAACATAAAAAGAGAAAATATATAAAGATTTGCTTGTCTATGTTTCTCACTTGTGATAAATACCCTGAGTAAGAAAACCAAGCTTGCCCTTCCAAGACAATTGGACACCTTTCTCGTTCAAAAGCCACGATTTTACTTCAAAATGATATTGTGAACAAGGCACTAGTTACATTTTGCATTTCGTATTTTTGTTGACATATTATACATTTTTTTATTCATTGTCATCGTATTTTGTAATATTACTAGAATAAGAATGATGTTTATGTATTTTTCTATGTTATTATTTTTATTTTTTTCAAAATTTTATAGATTTTTTATACTAACTAGTATATAAATACGTTCTGTTAATACAAAGCAAAACGTTCAATTTAATGAATACGTTTTTGTAGAAAATACAAATTTTTTAAAATATTTTCTCATACATTTGATACACATCAGCAAACAATAATATAATTTATAACAGATCCTACTACGTGTACAAGAATCAAAGTACAAAATGTTTTTTAACATTTATTTATTTCCTACATTACAATAAATGTTTAGATATTACTAATCTCATTATCAAAAAAAACAATCACAAGGGTCGACTAATTATCGAAAATGTTTCTTCACAAAATATCCATGTCACTCCAATAAATTAATGAAATCATAAGTACAATATATAATGGCTAATAAATTAAACTGAAGACATATTGTTATATATTTTGACAATAAATGCCATTAATAGCCGTTTACGACTTATAAAATACGGATATGGATCTTCTTTAAAAGAAAAAAAAAGAAAAACTATTTTAGAAAAACATTTTGTGGTATGAAACCAGATAAAAGAATATTTTTCTGACAATGAAACATTTTATAATCTAGAATAAGGTATGCATGCCTAACGAAAGCTCCTAAAGGAGATTTCAATTTAACATAAATATTTTCAAGAAAAAGTAAACGTATTTGTAAAAAATCTTATTTTTATAAATAATCATCTAGAAAAAATTTCTGAAGATATACTACATTATGTGATTGAATAGCGTAAGTATGTGAAGCATAAGCGGTGAATTTTCGTAATTGAAACTGTATACACCTTGTCAAATAGTAATAAGATTGGATGAAACATAATTATAAAAGTCTGTTTGTACATGATAAAATGATTGAAATTGTATCCAATTATATTTATAATAATTTTTGGTTCACGTATACATATTTACTTAATAGAGGATATGTAGATATTGTGTAAAGATGATCGTGCATGTTTTATATCAATACATAGAGAAAATAATAAATTGTGCGGCATGTACTACAAATTTTATAATTATTCATTTGCAATAATTTCATTCAATATAGAAATTTCACATCTTTTTTGTCATTCCATGTATATAGGTACCATCTTTTCATTCTCGCCTATTGTATTGTCATGTGTTAAAATCAAGAGAAACATGCAAAGGTCGCGAACTTATAAATGTAGTAGGAAATATTTTCGTTGTTAAGCCCGTGAATAGCATAATTGATGAGAAATGTCAGTTATTTCAAGGAGAGCAAGTTACATACGATATGCTTTGTTTGTATCACTGGAACGCGTTAAAATATTCTGTTTGATTATGATATTTCTTTGGAATTCAAAAATAGAAGTTTTTCTATGACAAAAGATAATTACTGAAATATTTATTTTTGGATATGACAATGTGGTGGAGACAGTAGATTATTATCGCTTATAAAATTTTCGTAAAATAAAATAATCTAAAAAACTAAATATTGAAAATTTATATACATCATATTTTATAATAAAATTATATATTGTCAAAGGTATACAACTATATTTGGACTTATGGTTATATCACTATCACAAATATCACTAAAAACGCGTAAGTTTGTAACTAATGAACGATTTTGATTTCAAACTTAACTAAAACCTTTTATTGATTTTTTAAGTAAAGGGATATCAATCAGGATAGTGTTTTTAACCGTAGCAGACAGGAAAAGTGTAATTATGCGACTATCCCACATGTGTAGTCATAAAAAAGTATTGTGCTAGTTTGGTCTATCTATAGCTGTGGTGAAAGTCCTACTAAATGTATGTACATACGTATATGTACATACATCTACAAGAGAGGAAAATCTACAGTTGGAACAAATCCATAAGGCACGATACGTTAACCACCAAACAGAACAAGATTAAACACACGTTACAAGGGTTGCTTTCTCGATTTCTAAATTTTCTTCTGCTTTATTTAATTGGTCTGGGATGCCCAGGATCCGGGAATTGAGATAAAAAAATAAATACGCATGCGCTTTGTGAAAGAATTTATATTCGGCTGCTATATTTCTCCACTTACCATACTATGACGCTGTGACAGTTGAATTCATGATAGGTTAAGTACTGTGTGCGTGACTGTTTATTTTTTTTAAACTCCGTGAGTGATTAAAAGGAAGCAGCAAAGAATGTCAGATATAGAGCAAGTCTTTATAAAAGAAGAAATTTTCTTAGGAGATGATGAAGAAGAAGAAGAAGAAGAAGAAGAAGAAGAAGAAGAAGAAGAAGAAGATGACGTGATTCCATGTGAACCTGGAGATGTACTCGATGTTGAAAATGGAAAAAACTCACAACATGTACCTCAATACTCTAAAACACTGTATTGGAATGCTTATAACATTTTCAAGCAGTGGATGGACTCTAGAGGCGTGGAAAGCATTTCTGAAGAAATCTTATTATACTACTTCGAAGAATTGTCTAAAAAATATAAACCTCCATCTCTTTGGAGCAAATACTCAATGTTGAGAAGTACTCTTAAAGTCAAATATGATATTGATATTCATGACTATACACGGTTGTTGGGTTACTTGAAAGAGGAAAACAAAGATTATATACCAAAAAAATCTGAGGTATTAACTGTAAACAATGTGAAAACCTTTTTGAGTGAAGCTCCTGATTACGAGTACTTAGCTACAAAGGTACGTGTAACCTCTCAAGTATTTTATATCTTTTTATATTTATAGTTTAATGTACATCACTCAACATTTCAGGTAGCATTAATTATTGCTCTATTTGGAGGTTGTCGCCATTGTGACCTAGTCAAACTTTCCAATAATGATGTTGAACAACATGGCGAAATTATGAAAATCACATTAAGAAATAGAAAAAATAATACAATAAAAACATTTATCATCGAAGGAGAAATGCTTCAACCAATATTAAACTACAGATCACTGAGACCAAGAAATGCTACATATGATCGATTCTTTTTATCGTATAGAAATGGTAGATGTATCAATCTACCACTTGGAAAAAATAAATTTGGATCAATGCCCAAAGAAATAGCACACTTTCTCAACTTACCAAATCCAGAGCTGTATACAGGCCATTCATTTAAAAGGTCATCAGCAACTTTGTGTAAAGAACGAGGTAAAATAACTCTCTTATGGGTATTAAATCTATTATACATTTACTGAGATTGAAGCTTTAATGACATTGTATTTTGATGTAGGCATTTCACTGGCTGATTTAAGGAGACTGGCTGGATTTCATAAATCTATATCATCCTCCAAATGTACTCAAGAATCAATTAGTCTCAAAAGAAAACCAGATGATGAAGCTACAAAAGTTATTCCTGGACCATCAAATCTAAATAGAGTATTGGAACTACCACCAAAAGTACCAAAATTAATTGAAGCTTCCCCACAGTTGAATGCAAATACACAAATCTATGTGTCTACTTTGCCAGTTATCAATGATAAAGTATTACTCAATATTTTTCATTCACTTCACTTTGATATTTATTTTTAACTCCTCTGTAACGTCTCCTTATTGGTGCATAAAATCATTTTTATCCATAAAAAACGAACAAAAAGAAAAAAGTATATATGTGTGAATGATTATACTTCAATGTACTTCCTTATTAATATACTTTTTTTACGTCACGAATCCGTATTCCAAATCAATAAAATGATTATTGATTTTCTTTTATAGTATGATTAGCATACTACAAAGCACATAGCACATAAACAGCGGAAAAAATATATTACCATTAAGTTTTCAACGTAATTTGAATTCAATATTTCATATAGGTAGTTATGCAGTTTTCTATAAATAAATAAGAACTTTTTTCTTATACTCTAGATAACACTATACTCATATTGGAGGAGCTCTTGTTCATACAGAGTGAGGATAGGTAAATTTGGATATTTAGCTTTTTTTATTGTAAAATATATCTCTATCCAAAATAAATCTCATCATAATTTTAATTTGTACAGCTCTGAACCTCAAGGAGATCTCGTATGATATAAAACCAATCAACATAGAAAAAGGTGGCGGTGAACAGCACAGTGATGAATTTCGAAAGGTCAATCCGATGGCACGGGTCCCGGCACTCCATATTGACAATCATACATTAATTGAATCTGTAAGTAAAAGAAGTATATTATTTTATAAATTATTTTTACTTGCGAACTCATTGACAACGTTAATTTGAAAATGGAAAATTGTTAAGTGACATGATATTATGACATAGTGATGGTTTTTTATAATGCTTGGTGAGAGAAAGTAGTGCTTTAGAAAGATCTAATCTAACATAAAAAAACTAATATCTAATCGTGTACGCAAGATGGTTTAGTATTTTTAAAACAAAAATCGAGCACGTCTACTAACAAAAACACTAATAGCTCGCGTGATCAATGTGTTTGCAGCTAAATATTTTACAATACTTGGAGGAAACCAGACCAGATCGTCCGTTAATGCCAGCAGATCCAGTCAAAAGAGCTAGAATTAGAGAACTATGCGAAATAGTCGTATCTGGAATTCAGCCTTTACAAAATGTCGGTGTTCTAAGTCATTTAACAGATCAACAAAAGAAAGAATGGCCACAGTTCTGGATAACTCGGGGTTTTATGGGTAAATATAATTTTTATTGCTGTCATATTATTAAATATCATTACAAAAAATATGTAACAACCCATTGAGGTTTTTAATTTTGTTACGTGATGAATGTGCTATTCAATTTGTTTCAATACAATAGCGTAACGTAATCTTACGTTATTTTGAAACTTATTTAGATAAAAATTCATTTTTCAAATTTACGTCGTTGCTAACGTAATCACGTATTGTAGCTGTAGAAGAGCTGTTATCATCGTGTGCTGGAAAGTATTGTTTTGGAGATGAAATCACTTTAGCAGATTGCTGTTTGGTGCCACAATTATATAACGCAAGAAAGTTCCAAATAGACGTGAAAATGTTTCCAAAAATATTGCAAATTGACAAAAATTTGGAAAAACATCCTGCTTTTATTGCAGCTCATCCTGATAATCAAATTGATTGTCCATTGAAAGTGAAAAAGTGAAATAACAGAGCAAATAATTTTCGTTTACTGGTGCACAGTGATGAAAGTTAATAATGTGTGAAAAATACAAAAAACCAGCAGGTAAAATTGATTATTCTAAGGCTTTTAAATTTAAGTACCTGCTAATATCATGCGTTCAAAAACGTTTTTGTCAGAACATTATTGCAAGGATTAACGAATATTTTGACTAATCACGAGATGCAATTTTATGACTAGACATTTACATTTCATGAAATGTACATTTCTTGTAAGGTGAATATAACTGTTCAAAAATACATTTTATTTTATAGACGAAAGATTTGTAATAAGTATAACAACAGTTAATAAATCATATTTAATGATATGTGTAACCAATGCAAAATATTCGTCAGTGATTGTTGTTTTCCCATTAATTATATAAAAAAGATCTTATTTTCCTGACTTTCTTCACAATGCATGACAATGAAAGCAAATAAGAATAAATATGCAAGAAGATTTTAAATATTTTTAAAATAAAAGCTCATGTTAGTAATTGAACTCCTAAAACTTCCTTTTCAAAAAAATGAAGCTTTCAAATGACGATATGTAAGTTATTAGAAAATGGTTTAAAATTTATAATGGAAGCTATTTTTAAGACATACTTCATAAAGAATGCAAATCATTTATTTACAATATAAATATTTTGCGTAAGACAAGTAAAATGATGTAATATATTCTTTATTGGAGAATGGCCTACGTTAAGTTCGTTCATGCCCATATAAGAGTTGCAATGTGTAACGCGCTCAATCTTTGGAAAATAAAAATGTCTGTGGGTGTGTGTATGCGTGCGTGCGTGGGCGCGCGCGCGCGTGTGTGTGCGTGTGTGTGTGCGTGTGTGTGTAAAAAGAAAAAGCAATTTTTCTTGACATAACAATTAATTGTGTGATTAAAAAACATAAAGAGAAACAAAGTGATGCATTTTTGTAACTGAAGCTATATAACATGCCAAATAATAATAAGTTGAATGAAATCAGAACAAGCCTGTGCATGATAAAAATATGAAACTTAGCTTCTTATACTTACTATTTTCAAATAAATATATATTACTTAAAGAAAAACATGTAGATATTAAGTGATAGTTAAAAGTGATCTTAAATGTTTCATACGTAGAGGAAATTAAAAAATTTCTATATCATACAATGTTGATTTTAATTTCAAAGTTCTTTTTAATTATATTCTATATTAATATACATACGTATTTTACTAAAATTTATAAGATTTCATTATACATTTCTTTTTTCTACAAGATTTTAATAATATACCTTCAAAAATATAGGCTTCTACTAAAAGTATTTCGGCTTTACTTCATCACAAAAATACTCACCGAACCGAGCAGTATTTTCTTCCATCATTGATATTACATCGAGTTTTACAATTAAAAATATTATCACGAATAAAATTAATCTGAAAATATCAAGAAATTACTTGAAATTTTACAATTGAAGTTTAATTTGATTAGTCAAGTTTTGAAAATCAGTATCTCGCCTTAAGTAAATTAATAAATATCTTTATTTCCTTTTTTTGTTTATATAAGATTACTTGCTTAACCTTTATAAAAGTACATACACTTAACTATATTGACTAGTCGAAAGACAGCACCTTTTCTGTGAAACATTTGTCAATATGGATACCGACGGAATGCAAGCTCAATTAACGAACTTGAGTTTGTGTTTTTTCTCAATTATTATCACCACGATTACAATAATGTTACAGTAATATAACGTATGTATAACGTTTCAACAATTCGCGAAGAAAATCTCGTTAAAATGTAAATTCGCTTGCTATTTAAAATGTTTTCTACAGATCGATAAGATAAATCTGGCAAAAGTTTCGACGCGATGACCTGAAAGACTAAAGAATATCAAACGGCACTTTTATGTCAAAAATATGATTTTTGGGTTATATATATAAATAATGATTGTTCATTCATGATTGCTTTTTAAAAGGAAGAAAATATTGCAAAGCGGTAATAGGATAAAAACCCAACATTTATAAATTAATTAATTTATAGTTACAATTTATCCAATATCTTTGTGATTTTTAACTAGCATCAATAACGAACTTCAGTATTTCTTTATTTATCGCATTTTGCACGCATTTATTCGCCGTTAACTGCTCATTTCCATCAAAATTAGAAATGTTATAATAAAATTACTTGACTAAGTATTTTGATTAATTATCAAGAATTGAATAGACTTTAAATGTAGGCCGTTAATTTGAAGCTTTCCAATTTTGATGGAAATCGACGCCTGACAGTGACGTTGTAACAATAGTTAACAATAACATCAATACTAACATTCTTGAATAACTTTATTCGTCTTTTTTTATCTAGTCAACAATAATTTTTTTTCACCAACGAATAAATTATTAATATATTTGGCAATTTGTATGCAATATTTACAAAATAAATTGGATCTGACTTTTCGTATAAAAATTATAGATAAGGTAATTTTGCAGTTAAAGTCAAGAGCTAAGTATCTTAAAAGTTACATAAAAAAATACATAAAAATATATATCATTTATACAATAATAACAGCTTAAAAACACGAAAATTTAGTTTACAGTGATATGTTTATATTGTTGATGACAGTCGATTCAATAAAAGTTAAAAAAAGATTCAGTATAAAATTGCACTTTATATTGGCAACAAAAACACTCGTTACAGATAAAAGTAATTTCTAATTTGAACTATCAAGGCGATACAATCAACAAGAAAATAAAGAATACCGTAACACGGTGAATGGGCATCTCTACAAGAGCGTGCGAAATACATGAACGGTAAATCTCAACAACCGAACATCGCCTCAAAAAAGAAAAAAAAAGAATTAGTAATTATGATATTATTATAGAGAGGTAATCTGTAAAACAACTAAAATGAGAATAATAAAAACTAATCAACAAAAACTCTTATCTCTCACCGCACGATTGGCGACAATCTTCTTGGTATTTTTCCACACCGCATCGTACTTATATACACATTAACAATCACGCGAGAGACTTGAGACTCCATCCCGAAGTATTGTATATATATTTTGTCGTTGCTTATTGCGTAGTGACGCGTCGAGTGAACAGAGATTAATGCATTATATATGAGAAAGTACGAGTAACAAATGAGGCCGATAAAAAAAAATGTAGAGCTGCACTGATATTGAAGAAGACAGAGAAGAAAAAGGCGCGGCGAAACATAATGATATTAGGGATAGCAAAATGTATATATAGAATAAATATAAATAATCATATATATTCGTATTAATACTATTTTCACATATAGAGATGGATTTAATAAATTATGGCATTTGGATGGCATATCTGGATGGATGGACACGTTGGTGTTTGTGGCCAAGGTCGTGAAATGAAGAAACAACAGAATGCATTTAATGAGCGATTGTTTATTATGCTCTTATGATCACTTGTCATACAGGTAACGATGCATTTCTCATGAATGAAAATAGTTAATATATTATGTTTTTTATACTTTTTTTAATCGTTTTTCGTTCTATAACTATTTAACATTGAAATGGAATAAAACGGATGATGAAAGAATAACAATCTAAGAATGCAAATAAATGTGGTTAGAATGTCGAATCAATTTGTATATATATCAAAGAGTAGTTCTTAATTTTTTTTGTTTTGTTATTCTGTTTTCATTATTTTGGTTTTTTTTTGTGTATCGCTTCCATCTTTTTCCGTTAAAACGTTGCCGTATATATTTATAATTTACACTTTTCTTATTCATTTTCCTTCTCGTCAATGTCCTGCGCTATTACATCGATGCGATTTATACGTCTTTCTTTATCTTTTATAATATAATATATATATTTTTTGTCTCCCCGCTAAACGTCTGTTTCTTTTTTTTTATTTACTTTATGTATACCTCGCTCTCGTAAAAGCCTACGCGTATATTATTATAATCATAAACGGTACTTTGGACTTGGTTGTCTCTCTCTCTCTCTCTCTTTTTCCCTCTCTCTCTCTCTCTCTCTCATCACCATAATATATGATCATCATATATATCTATACTATAATCCAATTTTCCTGTCCTCTTTTCTTTCTCAATAGAATAAACGACGAAAAAAATTAATAGAATAAAAACAACAGCGATGTAATAATGTACCGTCTCTCATCTCGTGTATGTATATTAATATATATAGTTACAACAAACGAGCGCCGCTTTTTTGTCGTTAAGTTATCTTTTCTCCTCTTTTTTTCTTTATCTATTAAATATCGATTTGCAAATTTATTTATTTACTTTTCTTTCGTGTATTATCGTGTGTATATAGATATTCGTGTATGCGTTTGGCAGATGAAAACTAACAAATACATAGAGATTTGTCCATTTTGCTTAATATCGTATATTCTTAATTCTTTTAAATATCTGTTTAATTTATTCTTTTAAACTCTGCATTATCGTATGCGCGCAATCTATCAAATAGAACCTCTTGATCTCTCTCACTCCCTTCGCTTGTACTTTGCGCCTTGTGCCGTGAGGATATATCCGAAAACAACGCGAACGCGTGTTTTTTTTTGTCTTTTCAAATTTTCCGAGTACCCGCGTCTGTGCGTCTGGTTGTAAAACTCAACTGTTTGTATACCCCTCCTATCTCTCGCGCTCTCTTTCTCTCTCTCTCTCTCTCTCTCTCTCTCTCTCTCTCTTCTCTCTTTCTCTCTCTCTTTCTCTCTCTCCCTATCCCCCTTTCTTTTGCATTCCCATTTTGCTAGGGCGTTGGCGAAAGTAAAAACAGGCGAAAAACACGAGGGAAAAAATGAGCGCGCTCGCGAAACTGGAAAATAACGAGCTCACACAATACACAACTTCACACGCGGCCCTACTGCAAATATGCACGTTTTAGCACCGTTCGCAAAGTGTGTCACTCAGCTACTCGAGCGAATAGTATAAGAGAGAAGGTAGAAAAAAAAAGTCTTGGCGGCTTTAGCGTGACTTGCAATTAATTGCCGCCACGAACGACGACGAGGGCAAAGAAATTGAACGGATGCCGAGATGGCGGAAAAAATGGGAAACGCTCGACGAAAAAGAAAGGATCCCTTTCTCGGAAAGAGATTCGTCGACTAACGAGCGGGCGAGCGTCGATATCTACGAGGATCGGCCGAGATGCAGCTCGGTTCCCCATGGAAAAAGAGAGTCGACGACACAGACGAAGAGAAAAGAAAAGAAACAATAACACAGCGTCGGTTGGTGTCGCGAGCGAAGGGCGTCAGACGAAGAAGAAGTAGAAGAAAAGGGGGCGTCTCGAGAGAAGAAAAATAAAAATCCGTGAGTATACGTATGAGCGTATAGCTGTGGTATATTTGGTTTCTCTTAAACATTACGTTATTATAGCCAAAGGAATGTATGGTACAATGCTTCATCGTACATTCACCGACGAAGAAAGACTACAATTAATTTTAATTAAAAATCTGCTTGTATTTCATTTCGCAGCCAGCTGCCCTCTCCTATTTTCCTTTGCTTTCCTATCTCTCTCACATTAGAAATATCGTGGAAGTTTTATTATTATTATTTTTTAAATCTTTTCGTCTATTTATCCTTCATCCCGTTTTATTTCCTTTGTTTTGTTAGCTTTTGTGATAGATAATTATAACCATTTAATAATAAATAACTATGTTTTTAAAAACTATAACCGATATATTATATAGGGATGGCATTTCAATGTCCTTATAACTTTGACTTGTGTGTGCAGTACGCTGCGCGTGCTTGCACGGTTTCTCTCTATTAGTTCAAACCTTTTCGTTTGCGAAGCGTTGCACGAAAATTGGTATTTTATTTCATTTTTCTCTATTTTGCACACAGATGCATGAGGTCGACTATTACACAAATGTATCTGTTTGAACGTGGTATATTTATAATGTACGAGTTTGTATGTATGTGTATTTGTGTGTCTCCAACGTCTATACGTATCTCTACGACACTCGGAGAAACTTTGACAATAAAAAAGAAAAAAAATAAGCGAAATTTTGGTTTGACCTATTTTTTTTCTCATGCCGCGAGCCTCATACGCTCTATACAATAAGTTAACTCTGTTTTCTAACAATTTTCTTAAACTATGTTAGTTTACAAACAAGATTCCCAACTGATTAAACGATGTTCTGATGTTTTTATCGAAACCTCATCAGATATCAAAGCATTGTCAATGGCTACATCAACAGCAATATCGGACTCGCGCGCACGACTATTTGAGTGTCTATATATTGATTTACCTTAACGAGTATTTTTCCGAGTGTCGATTATTCTTTGTAATAATTTTTATTTTATAATTCCATTTTTTTTTAATTTACGATGCGAGTAATCAGCGCGAATACGCGATCTGCACGCGTAACGACTTGGTAATAGATTTATTTTCATCTACGTCAACAAGATACTTTAATTTTCTTTTATCGATTTTTTTGTCCTAGTTAGTGATTTCTTTTAATGTTTTTAAACATCTTGAAAACGCTTGGTTTTAAATCGAATTATACCATCAAGGAGCATACGTTTAAGTCCTACACTTCTATTACAACGACATTGGCTATATTTTTGTTTTTCATGACTATTCGGGAATTCGTCGTTTTAAAATAAAATAAGCCTTACTTATTTCTCAACACAAACTGCACGCATTTTTTTGTATTCCCATTAACTTTCATACTATCATCGTTTAAGCCATGGTTTTTCTCCACATTGACAAAAATAGTACGGTATTTTGGACGAACATTCAAGCCTGCCTAAACGAAATTTCATTGGTTTGCTGTTATAAATTTGTTTTCTTCTTTTTTTTTTGAGTTACGCAAGAAAAAAAGTACAAAAAAATTGTTTTTCCATCGAACGTTCAATTAGTAATAAATAATATTGACGAGATGTCGATACACTCATGCAATTATATAAAAAATGAATTGATTTCCATGAAATTATATACACAATGGGTTGCACTACGTCGTGATCATCGTTTTATCTGTTTCTGCAGGATGAAATTATCGCGAAACAATGAATGAAAAAAGGTGGCAAAGCAATCAAATATGTTAAGGCACTTGAATCTTCTCCTTTTTTGATGTCGTAATGTCATGATTTTGTTAGACCGAATGAATGAATTTGATATAAAATGAGAGATGTGCGAAAAACAATTTGTCGCTTTTTTTGTCGACAACATAATAAAACGCACCTCCAGCCTTAATTATTTTTTTTACTATGGCAATCGCTCACATTATCTCCAAGTGTGTACACAAAATCTTTTTTGCCCGAATGACAATTTGTTTTTCTTTAAACAAAGAAACGGATAAAATTTGTTTCTCACCTAAAAAACCGAGCACCATATTATATAACAATTACGAAGCTAGAATACTTAAATTTATATTTTAATAGTGTAAAATTTGTTTTCACATTTATATTAATTTGCATCTATATATATTGACATTTTTCATTTAAAATATTTCTATTCAAACATTGATATCGCGGCGTAATACAATATTCAATCCTCGTTGCAACGAGATGTGATTATAGCGAGCGATGGAAGTTTTTGTCTTTGATTTGTCATTCAACGACATATCGGACTCTCGTGTTTTACTTCTCTTTTCTATTCGCTTAAAACATGTCGCAGCAACAATTTTTTTTATCTTGTCGCTCTATTGTCAATCAATACAATACCTAATGTACATATATTAAATTTATATAGATAATCTTTTTGTGGCTCTGCCTATAAATATAATAATTTGTCTATTACGTTTTTTTTTCTCAATACAACTATACCTCGAATGGTACGTATTGGCGTACTTTGTCGAGCGACTTTGATTGTGAATTCATGAGATGCGAAGAAAAATAAAAAAAAACGGGCAAAAATGAAATGCAAGCTTTCGTTCCCTCTTTTTATCATACTTTTTGTGCTGCATTGTCAAACGAAAGAAAAATGACACATGTAATGCGATGGATTATACAATGAGAATAGATATCGATCGATCGTACAATGATTTCATTCGATGAACAATCACGAGGTCTGTACGCTCGATCTTCGGAACTTTCGGTCTTAGGTACATAAGGTACTTTTGATTTGTCTCTGGTATATAATCTGTTTTGGTATATAGATTTTCTTTTCATATGGGAATATAAAATTTTAAATATGAACGAAACACGTGCTTTTTTCATCGCAAAATTACTAGCAAAAAAAAATCTTATTCAAGCTGCTATGGCACTGCGAGAGTCGTCGGTAAATTAACAACTGAACAGTGATAAGTCATGTTTTTTTCTTTTGCGACTCAATGAAGTAGAAAAAAAATATTGCGCAGAACGATTTACTACGTTCGAGAAGTATTTTTCGTTGTCATTTCTTTCAAACTCGATCCAAAGAAAGAAAATCAAAATCGACTTTTGTTTTTCGAATAAACTTGATGAAAATTGTAAATAACAATAATATTTCAATAATATTATAATTCAAAAGTAAAACAGAAAAAGTCATAATTTATATAATCAGTCAAATTCCATAATTAATGATGCCACCGTGGCAAAAAAAAGATGAAGCGAATGACAAGAAAAGATTAATCCACGCATCCTCGCGCGAGGACGAAACGTATATTCAAGAGCAGACAAACAAAAAAAGAGAAGGAATTATAATGCGTGACATGAAGTTGTCAGTGTGAGATGAAAAAAACGTGACGTTGATAGCCTACAATAGCGCACACAGCCATTTTTTTTCAATACGCTCGCAATAAAGTCGCGCGAGGCAGGTATATAATTATTTAATAATCAACGATACTCGTTTCTGTATAACACGCGTTGCTTCATTTTTTTTATCACAAACGTTAGTTAAAGTTTTTATTCTTTATGTCGACACACTTAAAAGAAAAAAAAAAAGAAAAATAAAAGCGAGGCGAGAACAACAAGATGAATTTTGAATGCTAGTCAACAGTCGTGTATAAATAGATAACAAAAAGAATGATGAATACGCGCTGATGAAAAAAAAAATTGAATGGCTGATGAATCGTGCGCCGAATTAGCTTCATACGTACATTGCATTATAATGTGAGTTCAATTGATTTTTTCAAATTGATCACACACTCAATGTCAGCTTATTTATAGACTTTCAATAATGGCGATCGTGCATATATATATACACACACACACACACACACACACACACACACACACACACACACACACACACACACACACACACACACACACACACACACACACACACACACACACACACACACACACACACACACACTACACAACCTCACAGTCCATGCACGCGCGATTGATCCATCTCAGACTCTGCGCTGCTGCCTTCACTCTCATATATTAACAAAAATTGCACGCAAAATAAATGAAGACTCGTTTCCATACTTCTCTCATCGTGTAAATCGTACTTTTATAAAGTAGATCGTAACGTTTGAAACGCCGTTGATAAAACAATTATACTTTGATCTCTTTGACACAAACAAAAATCGTGAGTTTGTTAGCTACGTTTGTAGCTAATCGAGAAAAACAATTTAAAAAAACAAAAGAAATATAACGTTACAAACTGAAAAAAATAGATTCGCTTTTGGTATCGCATACAAAAAAGAATAAGCAGAGACGATGTCCGATGCATGTATGTATTACCCGAGTATCGTGTGTGTGTGTGAATGTGTGTGTGTGTGTGTGTGTGTTTTAAAGCGCAAAAACAGAAAAAAAATAATAATAATAAAACAAAATCAAATGAACAATTAGTATTATGGTATATGTACCAGGACGAGGTACACTTTGGCAGATAAGATGTTTAATATGTATGTGTATGCGTGCGCGTGTGTATGTGTGTATGTGCGTGTAAGTTTGTAAAGAGGCTCGCTCTATATATTTTTTCTCTACGTCCGTAATGCGTGATTAGTCCTTGCTCTTGCTCGCCGAGGCCGCTTTCCTGGCCGCTTCTTTCAACTTATCCTGCGCATAAAATCATTTTATCCCCCGATTACCTATTTTGTTTCAATTAATCTTATACAAATTATTTATTAAAGTTTAATTTCCTGTATGTTAAGAAAAAAATAAAATTAAGAAAATGGCAGAAAAGAATCGCGACAACAGAGACCAATAGATTCTTAAATCGAAATCTTTTTTTTTTTTGAAAGAAAAAAAATTTCGCGTTCTTTTGCCGTTATTCACTTCCATTCTCAAATTCCATCACAGCTGACGTTAAGCTAAGTTTAACACACCTTTTTTCATCTTTTATTTTATAATTGAATATATTTTAATCTTTTTCTTTTAAATGGGAATGTACGTGTAATTTTCTCACACACTCTTTCTTGCACTCAAGAACTGTTTTAAAAAATTTTTGCCTGCCACGTTCCACTATGACCTACATTTAACGAGTGCATATTTGCTGCAAGAATCTTTTAAAACGAGACTGTACTGGAAGCTTTTTCTTCTTTTTATCTTCGAAACTAAAAACTCTTTTCCGTATAATCGACAGAGAAGCATAGAAGTATCGTTCAAAATGAAAACAACAATGAATTCAATGAGATCCCGCAACTCCGATTATATTGCACTTAGTAACGGCAAAAATCGAACTACGCATACATTGATCACAACATCAACAACAATAACCTACGCTTAATCGGATAATTATCTTTAAAAAAGTTTAAAGTGATCGTCGTTGCGAGAATGACGTATATATATTGTGTGTCGCATCAGATACGAAAACAAAACAAGAAACAATTTTTCAATGACAAAGCTTTTCCTCTCAATTCCATCCTAATTGACGTTGATTCAATGGCCAATCGCGCTTAAGGTCAGGACAGGAACAACGCGTCTATGCTTCTCTCTCGTGTGGTTTTGATGTGACTCGCGACACGAGCTGCGCATACATGCAACATCCACACATACACACACAACTGGTAAGTTCTTCTACATGTATAATGGAGAGGATGAGAAACGATAAGAAAATGTACCTAACATGCGGATGAATAAGTAACAATGATGTTGCAACTCGGCCTCGCGCGCGTTAATATTTTTTTCATTTCTTGTTTGCTAAAAAGCATCGCATTATTTTGGTTTCGTCTATTTTTTTTATTTCTTTATTTTCTTTTCATCTTCCTTAGTTTATAACCCCAACAACGGACGCAGTCTTGGGTCTAGTCTCCAGAATAAAATCTTGTTCCAACTCTTTCGACTATATTAATTTTTTTACTTTTTTACAAACACTTCTTTAAAATCGAACCTATCTAAATCTTATCTAACGCTACAGAATAAATCTGCATTTTTGTAATATCTGAAACATGTATATGTATGTATGGATGAAAGAATGTATTTTTTGTATTCTGTATTCTCCAAGGTAATATGGCCAAATTTGTTTAAAAACACAAAAATGATCAATTAAACGTAAAACGACATCTATACCAATTTCGCGGATGTAAATATTATTCCTCCTCAAAATGACACGTCTCCCCTGCTTTAACAATATATATAATCCATCTCTTAGACATATATATATATATATATGTATTGTTTTTTATCTATTTATATCTCATTCCTCAGGTATAATATTGATATTTTTCTCTCTATTTGCACGCAAATAATCTAGATCAATGCACAGTTCATGCCTTGCAGTGTCCCTCGTATCGTGCGATGTTTTATTATAACGACGACAATGTAACGCGTGCGAGAACGAAGACGAAGAAGCCGCGATTCGCTCGCAGCGCTCACTTGGACTCAGGTAACTGTCATTGAGAAAACTTGTCTTTGCAGCAATCAGACAGCGAACGATACAGGCTTCTTCATCTTTTGCACTCGCCTATGCACACGCACGCACACACACACGCACACACACATATACCTGAATAAATATATATAATTATTTATCTTTCTTTATCTCTCGCCGAACCACTTTTGCCCTTTCTTCTCCTGTGTACATAATGTTTCATATTTATAAATATACAAGTCATTATTATTTGTTTGTTTGTTTCGAGAGCGGTGAACCAGTGCCTTTGGCTCTGCGTTCAATTGTACTGAAGTAGAGTGGATGTTTTAATAACCGATTTGGAAAAATGTTTGAGCTATAATTCTATAGATAGTATTTTCATTTTGTTGCTGTTTTCATTGCAACTTTAACTTACTGATTAATATTATATCGGGCTAACGATACTATACCTAGTTAATATATGTAACGATGCGTATGTTTTGTCCTATCGAATGCTTCCTATTTAAAACCTACCCTGAACGAACAATAATTTAATTATAGCGGAAATTAATCACCTATATGTATATATATGCTTTCTCTTGTTCTCTCTCTTTCTCTCACTCTCTCTCTCTCTCTCTCTCTCACGAAAAAAATTGGAACACAATTCTCCAGCCGTTCGTATAATTTAATCATTTTTCTTTTAACCTCGCGTTTTTTTTATAATTTGTGTGTATTTGTGTATTGTGTGTGTGTATATATATATTTGTGTATGTGTGCGAGCGCGCACGTGTTACTAAAATCTATTATTTTCGTACATGAAAAATCAGCGTAAGAAGACAGTGATTTGTCTTCCAAAAATCGATTGAATAGTACGTAATTTACGCATTCCCCAATAAAATATATATGAAAAAAATCAACCTCTGTTTTGCAGTTTAATTTTTGCCTGCACGAAACGTCGCGTTTTTAATTAATTATACTTAAAAATCTAATTTCCTATAATCGTTCCTTTTCGAACGACTTTTTATACCGCGGAATATTATTTAGAGGAGAAAAAAAGAACGACATTTGTATCTTTGTCATATTTGTTTTTTTTTTTGCTCGTTTTTGTTTTATATCATTATACTTTGTATAATATATATATGCTAAGAAAAAACACGAAACTTTGGGCTCTCCGTAAGGCGAATTTGATTGTTCGAAGCGAAATTCACAAAAAAAATAAAAAACGATAACCGATTAGACACACGCGCTATTGACAAAAAGTATTATTATGACGTGTCTCTCGGTGTCTGACTCAAGTCACGCGCAGATCGAAAAAAGCTTCTAAAAATGATCAATAAAAAAACATTCAACAGCTAATGAAGAATTAATGAACATTAATATAGCTACATAACAATGATAAATCTTTGGGGATAATGAATTCAACTAATAAGAGAAAAGAAAAGAAGCATCATTATGTATGTAAGAAATGGATGGGAGCATAATGAGTGAAGTATAGGCAGGGGTTGTGGGCGCAATTACAGCAACGACGGAATGATTAGTTCTCTCTCGTGTTGAGGGGACCAGCCCCGCAATTATATAGAGTGTAAAAATAATTATATTAATATTATACGAGAATATAATAATTATAAGCATTCGTAAACAAAGTGCTTTCGATCTGCGTGTCAACGAGTATCTCTTTGGTAAAAATTAGCGTGGCTTTCTCGGTCATGTTAACCTCGCGATATATGCACTTTTATTTGGAAAAATGTTTTTTTCGATGAACAGTCAAATACGTTTACTTTGGCCAAAGTTATTGATTATTCTCAACAAATAAATTCTGTCGAGGTACGGCGAAAACGAGTACCTCATTTTCCATTATATATATATATATTTTTTTTTCTCTCTGTTCACGTCACCATTTTTTTGAAGGTCAATCGAAAAATTTTATTTTTTTTTTATTATAAAGTTCATCTACCTTTCAATAAAATGATAAATTTACAAATTCCTGTTGCGCATATCCTCTGAGGAACTAGCTTCTGGTGATTAAATAACCAAAGACGAGAGTCGTCTAAAGCACTGCTCTATAAACTTCGCTTTTCATCTGATATTTTTTTTCTCTATATAATTCATAATTTTTTTTCTTACATTTTGGAGCGTCGCTGTGTTTTGCGCGCTACTCGAGAATACCAAGGCATTCTTTTCCTTCCCTTCCTTGCTCTTTGCGTACGCGTCTGACTAAAAAACAATAGTGTCAAGAAAGAATAATAATATATTAAAAATTATTTTAAAAAGCTGGCCTGTAAAAAATGATTTCGAAGTGGGGGGAATAAAAGCGGTGACTTCTCGAGCAGCTGCTATATTAAAACACCTTTATACTAGCGCAACGACTCTCCCTCTCGATATATTCAATGCATCAAATATCGAATTTAAAGCTATGTTTGAAGTTGTTTATCTTTTTAAAATCATACAACTATTAATTGTGTATCGCAATAAATTCTGGCTGCGAATCCTGCTTCTCAATGAACAAGTGTCGTATTTCATATTTATATTTAAATAATATAACGTATTTTTCTCAATGTGTATGTGATAAAGCCCCGTAACGTGGTGTATCACAGAACAATTGTAATAGTTTTATACTTCTTTCTCTCCCTCTCTCACTTTCTTTGTATCTTTCTCTCTTTCACTATATGTAACATGTAATATTTATAGAAGAATTCTTAAAAAGTAAAATCTATCATTTAACGAGCCGTGATGGATGAAAATGAATGGTGATGTAGAATAGTAGTAGTAGTAGTAGAAGTAGTAGAAGTAGTAGTAGCAATGCAGGCGCTATAGTGATGCTGCGATAAGGTGACGACGGGTGTCGGGAATATATATCATTTCTTTGCTTTGATGCTCTCACTCGTTAATATCGAATTTTGCTTTTTTTCATTAGAGAAAAAAAAATTTGTTTAAAGCGGACAACGGGCGTGTGCGGGCGAAGAGAAGTGCGATAGCGCACCAAAAAACCATTCACCTTCTTTCAGCTTTCGAAATGACAACGAAGCGAGTGTCAAAAAGTGTTTGTTTTCCTCTATCTGAACTCGGTAAATGATTTTTTGCTGTAATGGTAACGTGGACTCCCTCGAAAAAAAATACATCGGCCACACAACGAGATTAAAGCGGCCGAAGGACAAAAGAACAACAGCAATGGATTGTCTTTCGGCCGCCTTAGAATCCCGCTTGAAAGCTTTACGTACGGGTTGTATTATGTAAAGGTGGAGGGAAGGAGGATAATAACGAAGCTACGTGAGAACAGAGTGTATATGGCAATGAATCTAACACATGTATCGTAGAGGAGCTGTCTCTCTCTCTCTTTCTCGGACACACTCTCTCCCTCTCTCTCTTTCTCTCTCTCTCTCTCTCTCTCTCGCTCTCTCTCTCGCTCTCTCTCTCGCTCTCTCTCTCGCTCTGAATGGGACGACGACAGCAAATCGATACGCGAGGACTTGGCTGACCGCTCGTCTCGCGAGCCCTTTTTGCCGTATCTCTCATCGACGGTCGCCGGCGTGAAAATCTACAGCAGGTGTTGTCGAGCGAGCGTTGACGAGAAAGAACAGCAGCAACAGTAGCGTAAAAGAAGAATTGTATTTAGAGAGTGGCGGTAGGGCGAGAAGAGAGGAGCAGCCAGCCAGTGGCAGCGAGATTGGCAACAAGATCAACTTGGTTGGAGTTGTCAGTGGTGGTGGTAGTGGTGGTGGTTGGGTGTTGATTATTATCGGGGTGATTATTATTGGCCGATCAATGAATCATGCCGGTAATGGTATTGTGACGCGCTCGCTTCGCCTCCTCCTCGCTGACCCTGTGCTTGATCAAATAGTGAGCGGTTCTGATGCAGTCGGGATAGCCCGTGATCGTGACAATGCGATTTCTGGTACCGGGGGCAAAGATGCCCTTCTTCGAGATCTGTATGTTCGCGCCACTGAGCTGTTGTATCTCAACGAGATTCCGACCGCCGGGTCCCAATATCGCTCCCACTATAACCTCTGGGATCTCAATGTCCTCCTTGCCCTCCTTGATGCCAACGGCGGCGGCCGCAGCGGCTGCCGCGTTAGCCGCCTCGACCTGGCCGCTCGAGGCGACCGGCGACTTACTTACGAGTGACAAGTGGTTGGTGCCCAGACCGAACGAGTTGTTGTTGAGGTTTATCGCGGCCGCGGCCGCTGCGGCGGCACTGTTGTTCGGCCGGAACGGGTCGACGAACGGCTCGTAGCGATCCAACGCTGAGCGCGGAGTCGGCGACGTGGAGCCCAGAGTCGGCACCGTGCCGATTGGACCGAACACTCCGCCGTTGTTGTTCGAGCCGTTGGCCACCGTCGTCTGCGACTCCATCGCGTTGCCCAGGTACGACATCGAGCCCGGCACCAGACCCATGCCCAGCACGTTGTACTTGACCAGAGTGGCCACTGCCGCCAGTATCTCCGTGGCCGCGGGCTCGCCGAAGCCGGTGCTGCGCAGCGACAGCTTTATGTGCTCCAACAGCTGAGTGGTCTGACTGGGCGTCGAGCCCGCCGTCAGCGCTGCGCCCAAGTTCAGGTTCAGGCTTAGACCGGCTCCGTTCAGCAGGCTCACTGGAACAGCGCAGCGAATATCATTGTTAACTCCGTCCTCGTTACAGCGCAGCAGCGCATCAATTCAAATATCCATTCGCGCATTAGTCGGTAAGCTGCGGCAACTATAATTAAGATCTCTCGCTGTGTGCGCGTGCTATAGTCGCCGCCTAATGAAGCGCGCCGCGCGCTCGTGCAGGAAGTTATCCTTGACATTTCCTTATTATCGATTCCATGCATTAATTAACGCCCGACGCAGCCGTGTGCGCCGCCATTTGCCTTCGCGAGCGCGATGTAATCGGTGTCCAACATTATTTTCAATTAAATTACACGCGTTTCGCGTTGCTTCTCTCGATTCGAGCCAGCTTGTTTTTTCTTTTCTAAATTCTTATCTAAACAGGTCGTCGTCGTTGTCGCATCTCTTCAAGATTTAATACTGGATATACATGTAAACGAGAGAGCTAAAATATTCAAGTTCTAAGGCGCACGGGTCGTAACAACGCGAGACCAGTTATGCGAGTTATGTTATTGTTATTTTTTTTTAATACAAGTGTGCTCGAAACTTTATAGCAGTGCAGCGTTCGCTTTACACTCAGAGACCTCGCTCGCACTCGACTCCTTACAATCGACTGAAAACTCAAAGCTGCGCAAGTGGATTCGTACCTGTGTTGATGCCAGCGGTCGAGGTATAAGTCGGCGTTGTAGTTGGTGTTTGAGCGTATGGGCTACCGGTCGGGTTGTAATTGGCAACCGGGCCACTGACGTCCGCGTAACTGACATTCAAGCAAGTGCCGCTCTGTGGGTCATCGGCGACTTTGGCGATGATCATCAGCAGAGCGTTGCGATTATTCTCTTTCTCGCCGATCACCGTGATACAGCGCTCCTGCAGTGATACGTCTTTGGCCTTCTGAGAGATCTGCACGTAGGCGCCTGTCTCCTCCTTGATCTGCTTTATGTAGTTGCCGGCCTTGCCGATTATCATACCTGCTGTGCTATTCGGCACCAGGATTTTCACCTGCGAAGTGGACGTGTCAACGTTAGCTCAAATTCTTTTCGTATTCTTTTCGTGCGTAGTTGCTGATTTAGAACATGCTTCAAGTTAAATGCAGTGACGAGAAAAGTTAAGTGCGCACGCTTCTACTATTGACGCTAGAGTTCTCATTAAACTTTGATTCCATGGGAATGAAAAGAATCATGTTAACTTTCATTTAAAAAAAGGGCTGAATATAAAAGTCACTGCGGTCCATTCGGGAAATGAGCCTTGTGCAGAAAAGAAAAAAATTATGGAAAATAAAAAGGGAGAAACCTCTTGGAAAATGCGATTCAGTTGTTACGCGAGCGCTGAAAAAATGTATTCCATTCTCACAGTATCATACGATTGTAACGCAATTTTACAGAATGACTGTAGAAGTACAAAACAAAAATTTAGCGCGAGCAAGTAGCGTAAGGCCAGATTTGGCAAGACAATAGTGGATTGCATATTAAATTTTCCCCGAAGCGTTTATTAATAACTTTCTTTCGCCGATCCCGCGTGAACGAGCAATCGAACGGCTTTCCTTGAAGCGAAACGACAGACGAATAGTTCGAGAGCGAGTCGCCAGCTAACGAACGGAAAAGAGTTATAATAAGCCAAAAAGCACGCGACTGCATGAAATTTACGTAACGCGTGCTCTTATTTTCATCCGCGCGCTCGCGCGAGTGTCACGAGCGCAAAATCACGGAGAGGCTACACAATGGCAAAGTGTATTCGCCGTAACGGTTCCCAGCAGATCGGCTAATAAACGAATATGCATCCTCGATGCGCGAGCCTCTGGCCGGCGGCGACGGTCGGGCAAGTGGCGTTGCGAAAGATCGCGCATTCGCATAAGGCGGCTATCCGAGGCCCGAGGCTCTCGCCTTGAACTTCGCCCGCTGCAGCGGGGAAGAAAAATCGAGCGCTCGCGCGCAGCCGACGTACGCGGCTCGCCGAGCTCGAGCTCCGAGCGCTAAAAATAAAGTTGCCAAGCGCGAGAGGCTTCGGGAGACGATTAAATCGCTATTTCTTTTCCTCTCGCGCGTTCTCGCGCTCGTTCTCGCGCTCGTCCTCGCTCGCGCCTCTATTTCACCAATGATGTTGCGCCAACGAGGCTTCTTCGGTCGCGACGCGCTAGGCCAAAAGCGCGTCAATGGTAATCGACGCGGAAAATATAACGAGCAGCAGCGCGCTCGGATGAACCTTTTCTGCCTCGCGTACACGCGGACACGCGCGCGCGCGCTCGCCGAGCGTCCCCTAACTGGGTCATTGCTAACAAGCGCGGCTCGTACATACGGCTACGCTACTGCCGCTGCGGCTAAGCCCGGCGACTTTACACTTTGCCATTTTGCCATGACTTTTGCACGATAGGGAAAGCCAGAGGTCCGTGCGAGCCGTTAAGCTCGATGCCATCTGCTCGAGTGCTCTTGCGTTTGCTTGCACTACCAGCTACAGCGAACCGACGCCACCTTGTTATTTTATTTCATTTTTCTTTTTAATTTTCCCATTAAATTTAACTAATCGGCTGAAGATAAAAACAACGCGATCGCTAGCATAATATAGCTAATGAGGCGGGTACGCGCAATTGCAACAACTCTCAAACGTAAATCATGGCTTGCGTTATAGCGCAAGATAAATTTATTCATTAGCCTTAGAAACTGGCTGCAGCTTATTTATAGAATGATTATTATTACGCTTAATTCGAGAGAGAGAGAGAAAGAGAGAGAGGGAGGGATATGAAGGTTTCGTCATTTCGAAAATTGAATTATCGTCGAACGAAATAGGATCGTCAACATATACGCCCCGCTTTTCTTTTCGTTCATTAATAATGCATTTCAGTAATTCGCCTGATACATAATTACGTGTATTTTAAGCTATGTGTCCTCTGTTTTATTTATAGATTCGCTGGGCGCTACAAATGCTTGGGAGAGCGAGATCCAACTGTCAAATCGTAATATTCTTTTTTCTTTCTCGAAATAAATTGGATTAATTTGTTGCAGCGTTAAACGGATTAAGATTTCGATGAAGATGCGGAAAATCGGAGTCGTTGAGTATAGAAATAAGAATTCAGCTGGTTACCTGCTTGTCCCTTTCGGCGGTTGTTTTGCCAGAGTCAAAGTCAACTGTCGTCTTGGTCGTGAGATCGGGTTTCTCGCGGATTTTCTCCATAATGAAATCCATGACCGCCATAATGGCCTCGACGGTGCCCGTTATCAGACACACCCGCTCGGTCGTTCCTGCAAAAAAGCACCCCGATTAATTAAGCGACACGTAACGCCGACGGAGAATGAACAATGAAGCATAGGCCGAATGGCTTAATTGTTATGGCGGCGTTACGTAAAGCGCCGCCGCCGCGGGGTGCGGGCTGCACGCGAACGATATTGGAAGAGTACTCACCTGGATAAAAGTCGTGAGACTTGGACATTTTGACCCTAGCCCCCGTGTCCTTCTGCAGCTGCGCGATCGTCTCGCCGCCTTTGCCGATGATCGCGCCGGCCGCCACTCCTGGCACCAGAACTTTGAGGTGGTACGTGCCATCTCCTCCTGCAAAACAGCAATAACCACAAATTCTCCGATTAATCGTTTGAGCTTGGACCACTCGAGTTGCCGCTTCACCTGACACACGTATAACCGAACGAGATATCATCGAGACGATGAAACGCTAGCAAAATAAACCCGACGACTTTGCAGGCTAGCTCTAGTGTCATTTTATGATCGTTTTAGGTTAATCTTCAAATATCGGCCTGCCTTTGAGATACTTCGTTACAGCGTTATTAGCATCAATGTCGGACCCTTCATTGCGGCTTTCAAAGGGGGCAGTCGATTGTTAGAGCTTTTTTCGAGCGTTATGCTTTTCATTGCCAATCGGCTTGTCAACAGTTTTCGTCAAGAACGTTTTGTAACCTCCCGTAACGAGCTGACGATATTGCCAATCAGGATGTATTAGAGATGAGAGGCGCCTCATCAACTCGAGGCATTTTCAATGAAAACAAATTATATTCGATGACGTCAGATGCAGCCATGTCCAATGTAATTATTAAGCGCGCAGGCGGCGAAAGAGTAGCGACTATCCGATAAATCTGTGCTTTTTGCACAACTCGCGTGGCAAAACTAGTCGGTCGAGTTAAGTTGAAAAAAAAAAAAAAAAAATCTACGCTATCAGCGGCAGGCCATTACGTTGCGAGCTCGGATAGGCATTAATTATCACCATCGAACATTTTTTTTTTAATGCAACGCACGCGCGTTACGCCAAACACGTCGAGAGCGTTGCTTTTTCGAGTCGCCGCGCTGGCCTAAAAATTGTGCGCTTTCGAAAAATAAAACATTCGCACTTGGCACGAGTGTCCGTTGGCGTATAAACGACGAGAGAGAGAGAAAGAGAGAGAGAGAGAGAAAACGTACGAAAGCAAATCCGCGCATGTACCAATCTGAAAATAAATTTCGCCTTGTGCGCTGAAACGCAAACTATATTGCACTTGCCAGCAAGTTGATAAGATAACTATGTGGCCAAGGTCAGCAGTTGAAATGCATTGTTTATGACATGTATAACGGCATTTCTCGCTGCTCGTTTCGATTGCACACACACGCACGTACTCGTAATATTGTTTCGAATAATAAATTACTCTGCAATTTTTTTTTTCAACTCAAGTACCTTGAAAAGCAAATTCCACTAAAACTGATTTTTTTCCAATTAAAAAACATTGTAAACGGCAAAAGGAGTAGAATAATTTGCGTTTACGAATCAATTTTTTATAAATTCACTCCTAAGATTACATTCATCGAGATAAGATAATAAAGAACGAGGCAATAAAATTGTTCCGTGTACGATATTCGGAACATCAGAAGCATCAGCACCTGAAGCAAGCAACTGACGTAAATCGATAAAACGGTATTCCAACATGCGAAAGTGTGTATGACGACGACGAGTAGCAAGTGTACGAAATGTTCTCTTCAAGCAACATATTGCGCAAAAAATTCAATACACTTTTTTGAATCTTTCGCCTGCCTATAATTTGGCGTTGCGTGAATAATAAAAAAGCGCGTAGGCTAGAAGAATCATAAAAAGAATCCATCAACACGCCAATAACTTTCATAGTTGCAATCTTACGATGCAACGCACTTAGCTCTATCGATTTTCCTTCGTCTTTGCGCATAATTTATCCTCGAAGCTCGTGGTTAAGCCACAGGAATTTGACGAATCCCAAACTGAAAATACCAGCTGGCCGCAGAGAGCAATTATACCCGTGGCGCGTTCTCTCTATATGTAAATTACATTCTCCTCTGCGCTCAAATGAGAAAGAATCCTCGTGGCCTCTGCACGTACATTTTTTTCTTGTTCAGCCTACTTTTCGACAACAAATCCAGACGCACACGTATACGCATTCCTGAGAAGTAGGTCGAGCCGAAATTCGTCAGGGTGACTAACCTGCTTGATTGTTGACGCGCATCCTATGAGAAAATATAATAAAGACCTGGTCGCGCACTGCGTGCACTTTACTTTCCACGCGTACACAAATACACAGCAGTCGACCTTGACCCACGACCTCGCGCGCGCGATACGACGTTGTTTTTGATTCTCGCTTCAAGAAAATATAGAAAAGAAGACTACAATGACTGCCGTAGCAACGAGCAGCAAAGAAGAACAGTGCCACATCCTCGAGCTCGCCCGTTCAGGACTGCCGGTGACAGCCACGAAGTGAGAGACAGAGAGAGAGAGAGAGGTTTTTCTCTCTCTCGTTCTTTTCGACGAAGAGAAGCGAGTCTCCCCCACTCTCTCCATCTCAATGCGGATGACACCTCTCTTTTTCTCGCGGTTGATCGCTCGCGTGTTGCACACATTTTTTTCAGTGAGAAGCTGCTACTTTACCGACCCGTTCGCTGCATCTCTCTGAGCACTCGATGTCGCGATGCCACTGCATTTTCAGAGGCAATCGACAAATTTTTAACTTTCACGTGCGCTACCTCTTATCGTGGAAAATCTCGCAGCAGGGGGGAGGGGTCTCTAAAAGAAAAGTAAGAAAGCAGCTGTTAGGAGATGCGGTGAATGAGGAGCGTCATATGGAAGCGTGAGGTCACCGATCGATTGAGAGATCCACACGTACACACGGCGATTAAATATGCTAATGGTATGTAAGAGAAGAAAAAAAAAAGAAGAGCTAGCGTGTGGAATTCATCATGGCTGCACAATGCGTTACCGTCGTCCCCGAAATAAAATTAAAAAAAAACAGCTGAGTTTACACTCAAACATAGCGGGCTTGATATAAGCCGTGTGTACGTTGCGAGAGCTCGTACGTATCATTACGAAAACACCCAACCGCGTGTGTAAATACCTGTTATATTTCTCGTTATAATAACTGTGTACCCGCGTAGTTTTTGGATTCATACACGGTATTTCGCTTTGCGCGCGCGCGCGCACTCATACACACTCACACAGACACGCACACTCACACACGCACGCACACACACGCACACATGAGTATGTGGACTACCGAGGTGCCTCTCTAATGACAGCGTAGCTGGTTCGAGATATGATGCTTTCGAATGGCTTTTGTAGATATACGAGGACACGAAAAAAAGGAAAGTTTAATTAATTTATTTTCTGTTGTGAAGCCTCGTCGGTGTTTTAATCCCCTCTCTCTCTCTCTCTCTCTCACTCTCTCTCTCTCTCTCTTTTGTAATTGGACTGATTACAAAAGTACCCGTACGACGTTCTTCCCCCCTCTTGTATCTTTCTTGTGTTATTGCGACACTTCACACACAAACGGAAAGTTTCAAATCTATTTGTCTGCATCATAACCTTTTTTCAAAGCAGGAAGTCAACAATAATCGGCGAGTTTTATCAACATCAAGTGCAGCCCGTATACTAATTATCAGAAATACAAAATAACAGAGGCGAACAAGCTATGTCTTTGCGACTGATGGCGCGTGAATTCGAATCACGCGCCACGCTTGGGAGTGATATCGTTAGCGCGGAGACGTGGCACGCGCGACAAGCCTGCCACCCACATGTGATACACATGCACGCCCGAGTGCATCCACGTTATTTCTAGCGCAGCAATTGGATTTCGTTGGAACGAAAAAATTGTTATTGCTAGCGCGGAAAAGAAATTCGACCGAGTAAACATAATATACGAAAACGTTTGGTAGTGAGAGATGATGATGGATTGATTGAACGTTGAAAGGTAGGATGATGGAGTGTAAATTATACAAAAGTTCAAGTTTATGTGGAATGGATCGTTTTGCAAACACGCGAAAGCTTTTAGAATTGTTCGACGATGATCGCGACTAGAACATCAAGAGGTTAACGAAAAAAAGCAAATCTTGCAAGGGCTTGGACGATGTATACACACATGATGAGTTATCGGAACGTCCTAGTTCCTCTTGATTGATGGAAGAAGCTTTTAATAGCACGAATATTTTTTTTGTCGATTGCTGGACGCTTAATAAGTATTTTATCGCGTGAGCATTTAGAACTCATTTCATAAATCTTCGTAGTTTTTTTGATTTCTGGAAAATTGGTTTTTAAATAATTTAATCGTAAATTACACTTGACAGTGACGAAAGCTTACGTAAGATGAATTAAGAAAGTTTGATTGAATTGGCAATGGAAAGGAATTATTGATTCGTTGAAAGCGACAGCTTTTGTTTGAAAAATACCGCAGCCGAAAGTGAAAACTCGGAAATAATATTGACGCAACGAAAAGCTCGTTGAAGCAAACGACAATAGCAGTTCTAGCGCAAATGATTAACGAGAAACAGAGCCTTCGATTAATGACCTTCGTCGTCCGAAGTTCACGAAGGAAGGGAGAAAGCTTTTGTGGAAAATGGAAGTTTCGCAGTAATATAACTGTAACGTAACCGCGAATGGTGTCGCATCTGCAATCATTACGGATTTTAACGTATAATAATAGACAACGTTGCGTCGTCGTGACGGGAAGTCTCTCTCTCTCTCTCTCTCTCTCCACAAGAGTTTAATTATCATTCACATTGTGGTAATGAAACTTAAACCTTGAAACGTTCCAATTGTCTACTTATTCTATACTACATTAACGGAATATACAGTGAAGTTATTTGTTGGTGTTTCGTTTGGTCGTTTTTCCGAAAGGGAAAAAGAAAACGGGTCAACCGCGAGATTGAAGAGAACAATGATTTGCAACAGCGGTGGTGGTGAAGCCCGAAGCGAATGAAAATGTTACGCTTTAGCACTGGTCCCGCAACAGCGAATAGCTACCGTGATTTTTTCAATAACATATTCGTGTGCGCGTTGAACAGCAAAAATTTTAAACACGAATAATAATTTGCAGAATCGTTGTAAAACACCGCGGAGAGAGCGAGAGAATAGACGACGATCTAGAGCAATGGGATTTCTGGCATCGTGTGAATTATTGAACTTTGCTCTGAAACTGCTTATTCTCATTTGACGCCAGTTGAAATAGATAACCTATGCATAGCACGACCCTACGCTCCGCGTCAGAAATAAATATCCACGGAGCTGTGTTTGAATTCCGAATGATCGTCGCTTATCATCGCCGACGCAATCTTGCTTTCGATTTTTCGTAGCTTTTTATCTACGTGCGCGTGGACACAATGGGAACGCGAAGCAAAATTGTCGATCGAAATCCAAAGCAACTTGCCAGCGAGCCTGCATAATCCGTCTGCGGACACGTTTACGGAACGTGGCGCGCTTTTGAAAATGAAAGTCGTCGGCGTGGATCGATGAAGTTATGGCGCTCGGTGGTCCACCAAAGCGCCAAATCGCAGCGACAGGAGCTCTGGCAAAAGGCGAGCCGTGGGTGCGCAACGCGGAAACAAATATGCGATCAATTAGGTAAACCAGAGCTGGGGCCTAGCAAAAAGATCTGGCGTACAAAAAGCTCTGCCCCTTGTGCGCGCGCGCACCAACGCCAGTTGTACGATAGCAGGCTATGCAATCGAAGAGAGCTTTCGTGCGCGCTTGCGAAAAGTCCATACCCCACTGACCTTCATTCGCTCGCCCCACTCGCTCGCTCGCTCGCTCGCTCTGAAAATTACCATAATGAACGGACTGGGGGAGGAGGAGGCATCGCATCGAGCTTACGATTCTAATCGCCACAAGCGGATGATTAAACGAGTGCTGCACCTGCCGCGACGGATAGGCAAACGAAAATCAATAACCCAATTTCACTATTCCCCTTGCGAAGTGCTCGAAGACGCGAACGAGAAGAAAGAAGTGAGCCTACCGCGGTCGAAATGTCGCGCAAGGTTGCAAGCGGCAGAGGAGGGGGAGGAGCGCTTAGTCGCGCAATCATCGCGACACTCACCCACATATGCAACGGCAAACGTCGCCCCTCTAAGAACGAGATGCCTATTTGTAGGTCGCACGTTTTAAATGTCCAGAGCGACTGCGACGACAAGTGGCTCTCGCGAAGCACAGTCCAAAGCAAACATCCCGAGAGAATGCAAGAGAGCAAGAGAGCAAGAGAACGAGAGAGAGAGAGAGAGAGAGAGAGGAGAGAGAGAGAGAGAGAGAGAGAGAGAGAGAGAGAGAGGAGAGAGAGAGAGAGGAGAGAGAGAGACGCAGCAGCACGCGCGTGTGTACAGACGAAAATAACAACCACCCTGCACTCGCTGCCACTGCCGAGCGCAGTAAACAACGCACAAAGAGAATCTAACGCAAAATAGTCGTTCTTTCTCTCTGTCTCTGTCGCGCCTGCACGAAATCGAGAATCTGTGGCAAGGCCTGCTACAGACCAAAGCGAGCCTAACCTCAAAAGCTACAACACGACGAGTTGCACGCTGATGCAGCCGAGCAGAACTTACGAGAATCGATAAAAACTGACGTGCCATACCTGTGCCGTAATGCGAACGCTTTGTTGCTCCATTCTCGACGTCGCAGTCGAGAGGCCGTTTCCTGGAGTCGGCGATCTCCGGGGAGGGACACGTCTCCATTCCCGAGTCGGCGGCCATCTTGCCCACTGGCTCTATTACTGCTGCTGCTGCTGCTATACTGCTGCTCCCTCTCTCTCTCTCGTTCTCTCTCCCCCTCTCTATGTTTTCGTGCTCTTGCTCGCAGTCACTGTGTGCGCGAGCGAGCTCGACTTTGCGTTGTGTGGCGCACGCTCTCTCACGAAAAGAGAGAGAGATAGATTTAACGCACACGCGCGCACACTTTTATGTATACACACTCGGCTCCGTGTGTGGAAGTGTGTTTTCCTTCCTTCTGCTACGTTCGAGCGCGCTCTTCTGCTACGTGCAGAGCGGGATTGTCGATTGTGATATTCGCTCACTTATGCCATCTACTCGTATAGAATTTAGGCGCTGCCTCGCGACTCTCCGTGTGTTATATTGAAAGCTTCTTCTTCTTGCCGCTCGCAACAGACAGCTTGGTCGCTCTTGAGATAACGACAAATTACAACACTCGCGACACCACTCTTCTTGCTTGGCACACACTTTCCTTTTCTTTTTCTCTTCCTCGTCGATGATCGCGAGACCGTGGAGCTTGATGTTATTATTAGATGAAGTTTCTGCACGTGTGTAATGTTGATATATATAATGGTTGTTGATGTGCAGGAGAGCGCACGCAGTCGCGATATGCGGATGAACTTATTATATCAATAACGAGCCGAGCTTATATATATTGACAGCATGTGTGATGTTGAGAGAAATGTGTGGCACGTAGAGGTGAGGAGGCGCGTTAATGATGATCAAAAGAGAGAGAGAGAGAGATCGGGAGTCCGATCGGTGGTGGTGGTTGCTGGTGTGGTGTATAGCGAAGGCGATAAGACTGGCAAGATTAAAAAAAAACCAAGGAGGGGTACTCTTTTTTGTGTGTGACAGCGCTAAAATAATGACAGATAGGCATACATAGAAGATACACACACTGAGCAGCGAGAGAAATGAGCGAAAGAAATTATTTTTTATTGTTGTTGAGTCGAGTGACGGCGCATCTTCTATAATACAACAAATGACATGTGTGTGTATGTCTATGAATGTGAGTTGATGGAAGGGTCGGGGAAAAAGAATCTCTGCACTCTGGCGCGCGCGGACCTTTAGTTTGCAGTAAAACAACAATGCACTGTGGTATCTCAACGCGCACGTCACTGTAAATGTACAACAATAATACTCAAACGCTCAGTTCTTGGGTAGCTCGCTCTCTCGCGCGGGCTGCCGCGTCTCGACTGGTTACTACTCAGCTTGGCTGCGCCAAGCACTGCGTGCTACGGCGCTGGTGGTGGTGGTGGTGGCACACTCTCAGCTATCGCGCCTGTGCCGTGCTGTGACGTCCTCCCTACCTCTCCTCTTCGCTCGACTCGCAAAGCGCGCGCAGCCAGCTGGTTTGGTTTCCTTCTCGTGGCAGGGCTCCATGAGAGAGAGACGCTATATCTCTCTCTCTTTCTCTCTCTCTCTCTCTCTCTCTCTCTCTCTCTCTCTCTCTTTCTGTTGCTATCTCGCGCAGCGACGTGTCTTCTAAACACCGTGCCCCGCTGAAAACTCACTGCCTCTGCTTTGCTTTCTTGACGACCGATCAACCGACACGCGTTTTTCACTTCGTTATTGTCGTCCATTTTCCAACTGACCGTTTTCCGAATTTATGAGCTTGACTTCTGTCACCTTCGTTGTTTTCAGCGGACTATCGATTCTTTATTCTTAAAATGTTCTTTTCAGGCGATACATCGTGAGCAATCTTTCAGCGGCTATCAGTATGATGAGTAAAAACAGAGTCGTCGCTCCCAAATAATATAGCGACGTTAATGGTAAACTAGGTCGCCTTAAAAATCGATTACGGCACTGTTTTGTTGTTTAACATAGTCTTTGAAGCATTTTCGAGCAATGTAACGACATTTCTGTTAAGCCGCTGAATCGTTTCCAGTGCGGATGTCTGGGCGTCTCGAACTCAAAAATTATCTTATCTCTGTTTCGATAAGAAGATAACATCAAAAAATATCCACTCACACTATATATGAAACTTTCCCTAAAAATCTTATCATCAACTTTACATAGGATGAACTCTTCGCATGCAATTTGTGGGTTTTAAATAATGGTTCCACTCGTAGTTACATTTAACGAAAACCACGAATAATTTATCCTCCGAGGAATAGAAATGTCACTCGCGTGCAAGACGTAGTAATTACTGAGAGTCGTTCCTACCTATGAGCGAGCTTGATATTTTGATGCATTAATTGTATATAGAGTTAACGAGAGACTGATTAATTTTTGAAATATTATTTAGAATCTCGTGAATCACAACCAGCTAAATGAATAATAGTGATTCGTTTCATTGTCTGCAATTTTGGGATGAGCACGTAAGATCAAATAATTTTTATAATTGTAATTAATTAACAAGGGTATTTACTTGAGACAAGATGAAATGAAATGAGGAAATTCGGCTTGGTTTGACTATCACTTAGAAGGATAAATGTAAAAGTAATACCTAATAATCTAGAACGTTTTTTCGAAATGTAACATTCGCGATAGTCAATTATATTGTGTAAAAATATTAAATAGATCTAGAGATTTTATCAATTAATTTTATTGAAACGAAAAGTTTAATAATAAAGAAGAAATCGACATGCCGAGCTAAAATTTCAATCTTGCTCGGCTTCGTTAGATCAGATCCTCCTATTCTATCCTCGAAATAAAAACCTGCCTTATCGAAACTTCATCTAGAATGTGAATCAGTGAAATCATGGTTGATTTAAGCAGCGATGGAAAATTTCGTTTGTAAAACGATACTTTTCACGTTTGAAATTTCCACTAATTATTAAAGCGTGAAAAACTTGGTTGTCAAATCGACCGATATTCGCAGCTAGAACATTGAAAAAAAGACAAGAACGTGTATTGAGACAATGCAAGTTCCCGGAAAATCCTTTGTATATATATATATACACGTACATACACACTAACACAAACGGTCGACATGCGCAACCTTAGCCTTTTTCGCGCAAGCGTACGACTGTCTGCTGTACTAAGTAATCTCATAATGCGATTTAATGGCCTGGAATGTCAGGTGAAATTCGATTGATTCGATTGTTCGCCGCCACAGCCGCGAGACTAGTAAATCAGTGGACTAACTTCGCTGTATTGACTTAATTCTTAGCACTTTGTCTTCGCGAATTTCCTTTGCGTTTGATTCAATTTTGAGAGTGCACGCGTACGTCGTATTTTCTTCAATTCTATCGGCTATACACGTGTTTTGTTCTCATGCATAAATGAAACCACTACTGGAGCACGTGATGTAGTACGGTAATTTGAAGTACAATGACGCTTGAAAAATTATTACACGCGCTTATAAATTTCTCAGGTTGACTCGTTAATACCTCAACGAGTTTATACCTATACCTATACGACTACCCGATGCTAATATTTACGTTTTGTAAGAGCTCTTCGAAACGAGTTTTTTTTTTACTTAAGTAATGAAGCTTCTTCAAGTTATGCATCCGCCTTTCTAATAGCTTACGGCTCATTATTTAAAAAAATATTAAGCGTATATATACGTACACTTTTTTTTCAATTTCAAGCAAAAACGTGCAGTATTTCCTCTGGCGATTATTTAAAAACCAACCTATATATATACGACAAAGATAGAGAGATAGAGAGGGCAAATTGCAAGCGTTGCATTTTAATTATGAGGAAGTCAGATTAATCAAGTACAATGTCAATGTGACCGGCGAGCGAGCGAGTATAATTGAAGAGACATCCGCGGCAGCGACGGCGGTAGAGCTGATAGTATATTCGAAACAAAAATAGCAGCTACTTATGCATGCGCATATAGATATGTATGTTTTGGTTGTATTCTTACCGTCGACGCGCTGCAGCTGCGCGAGCCCGCTCACGGCTAAAACTCCTCGACTGCCATCGGAATGGAAAAATGAACGCGACGAGCTCACGCGTACAATATGAGCTTTTAAATTTTATCGCTCGGCAAGCAGAGCATCGCCGCCCGCGCTCGCTCGCCTCTTGCTTATGCGCGCACCGCGCGGCACCGTTTTATGATCGATAAGGGCGCGACTTTTTCGGACTTGCCGGCATTGCATTTCCGCGGTGCACGCGCGCGCGCTCATCGCTCCTCGCGGCAGTGCGAAAGCGAAGTGAAAAATTGTTTTTTGCCTTCTTATTCGGGCGCGTTAACGTACAAGCTACTCGGTGTGCATGATCGCAGACGTGGGCATCGTCGTAGAGTTTGCGTCGATGCTACTATCCCGTGACTCTCTGTTCGAGAAAAAGAGAGAGAAGCAGAGAGTAAAAAAGCCCAAAATCCTATAACAAGAAATGCGCCTATAGCATATCGATTGTCAAGCCAGTCGGAAAAAGTAGAGCTGCCGGCTTGCGAAGGAAACCTCGAACAAGTACACACGAAAGGGGAGAGAGAGCGTGAAGAAATCGATTTGGGTTCCTCCTCGCTTATATAGCGGTGACAGGGAATGAGAAAATAGAAAAAAAGAGGCATCGCGTAGTAGCGGCAAGCTACTGTTAAATCGAATCATTGGTCGTCGACGACCGCGAGAGAGTATAAGCCCGCATTGCTACTTTTCTCTTTTGTATGTACGGTGGCAGCGTTTAAGAATTAAGATATACACCGGAAGTGGGAAAAGAGAGAGAGAGAGAGAGAGAGAGAGAGAGAGAGAGAGAGAGAGAGAGAGAGGCAATGAGACCAGAAATGTGTTGGAAAATGTGTTGAAGAAATGAATGAATACGGGGTGCATGGACGCTATGACTGTTGCTATAATTTTTTTACTTAGCTACTACATATTATTTTTTTTTTGGGTCACGATACATTTACTAATTCACTCTCGCATATCTAATTTATACTACGGCAGATATATCGAAACTGTCTGTCTGGCCAAGCTATTTTCAAGTTAAATCAAGTTTGTGTTTGCCGATCGATAATTCACTTCTCTCTTTAATGCATATATACTTATAACATCGCATGCATAAATTACTCGGCAGAATCAAAATTGAAAGAATTTTAATCAAATTAAATATTGTACTATACATTGTGTAGTCCATTGACGATTAGCAACGCAACAGAAAAAAATGTATCTTTCGTTCATTCTCCAACATTAAAACGTTAAAGTGTTCATCAAGTGATACACACTTAGCTCACTAAAAAAAAAAAAAAGTAGAAGAATGAGAAGCATTGTCAGGCTATTGAGACACAGAGAAAAGACGTCGCGGCAGCTACTTGGAGACGAAGTGAGAGAAAGAGAGAGAGAGAGAGAGAGAGAGAGGAAGTTGAGCTGAACGTTTGCAGCGACGATAAGAATTGGACGAGGGAAGCCGAAAGCGATAAGAAAGAGGTGCTCTCGAGAAAAAAAAAGAGTGTCGGGAAAATGTGCGTTGCTATGTAGCCGAGGCAGCGAGGGAGATAAAGACGCGACGCCGCCAACAATTTCTTCCGAAGCCTACAGTGGGGAGAATGCGAATATAACGGCTCCGAGTTGCGGTTTTTGCAAGCGAAATGTTTGATTGGGTTCTTCATCGCGACGGTCAGCAACACGACGCCGCCAGCCATTGTAACGACTGTGTTTCTTTTTTTAGTTTTGTTTGTCAACGATTTCGAAATGTAGCTTCGCGCGCGTTGTTTGATCTTACGTAAAAGCGGAGTTCTGTATATGTAGTTCAAACAAGCCTTAAAATAGATCACTATAATAAAAGTGTACTATCTACACATCATTCGTTTTATCAGTCGGCTTGAAAGTCATTAGAACAGCCACTCGCTGCATCTCCCACTCGAAGAGATAAAAAGTTTTCTTATCCGAAAAAATGTTGAACCGATGTTTTCTTTTTCTTCGGAGCGCACCTCATCAACCATATCTAACGTAAAATTGCAGTACGTAAACTTGCAAAAAATTTATCTAATTCGCAAACTTGTAGTACATGTAAAATGCGTGCAGTGCAACGTGTAGTGTAGTACTACGATCATGAGTAAGCTGACAGTCACCATATCGTCGACATGTAGTGTAGGTCGACTCACGGCATATTTTCTGTAGAAATACTTGGCGTAACGACATTTCGACTAGAGGGGCAAATTACAAATAGA